CGATATACAATTCCGTGGAATTCCTAAATAATCCGATAAAGCGAATGCTTATATCACACATGCGATTAAGAACGTAAAACAGATATAGGTGTGATATTGCGAACAAACAAGTTGCCTAATGTTAAGGTACCATTATTTCTAGAATACAAAATAATTCAAACTCAATGTTTGTTCCCGCGTCTTCTCCACAAGTTCCCTTGTGTAATCAAAAGAAACTGTTTTCGATCTGTTGTAACTACAAAACACCATGTTTTCAGGAAAAACACGTGGCTAATTACGCTGAGTGTTTTTATTTCCTTCCTTGACACCAATGCGCCCTCATATATATAAGAACATTGGGTTTCCTATTGCAAATGTTCCGCCCTTATTAGTAACCAAACCTCAGTTCTCATAAGTTATTGGTATTTGAACCCTCGAGGCTCTCTTTAAGTCATATATGTATTCAATGTGCGCAAGTGCTAACGCTGATCGATGTTCCTATAAAACCTTTTCACACGTATCCTTCACGACGACGGTAAAAAATATTCAGAACGTGTTACAAAATCAACTACAGAAGTTGCGCACATAATGATGTAAGGCAATTGCGGTAAGTATAAGCATCGGAAGACACTTTACGGAGTAAGGCAACTTGCAAGAGACGCGGTGAAATGCGACGAAAAACACGAATTCAACGCATCCGCCAAGGCGCGGACGGGAGAGCGGAGCAACAAGTTGAAGCAACCTAATGGCGGCCGCATCACGTGATTCCAAGATGGCAGCGCCCATGCGGCGGAGGGTGAAAAGGTCTATACGTCACTCCGTGACGTATAGCAGCCACTACGTGACGTATAATACCAACTTGGTGGCGCGCGATTTAAAACGAAACGGACGAAATAGCCGCAAGCTAAAATCAGTCTCGCGCAATAAAGTTGCTGTAAAAAAATTTTGCTTTTGGCAGAAAGATTGTTTTGTGACACGCTTGTCCCAATTAGGCTGTTTAAAAATACACTTTTTTTTTTCTTTGCAGTAAACAGGCTTCGTGTCCCTGGACCCATAGGCGTGCGCAGGATTTTTCATTAGGGAGGGCGAGGTTTCCCCAGAGCGCCCCCTCCTCCCCCTTTCTATCAACGCACTCCCACTGATGCCCTTACGCTCATATTATAGTGCTGAGACGAGATATGGTTATGAAACGTTTATTTCAACAATATTGAATTGTAACATATACAAAATATTATTAAGCAGTAGGTTTCACTTCCTCGTGAAACGTCCGCAAAGAAAGGCAGTCCCTGCGCAGCTGAGGCGTCAGTGACGCAACGCGCGTACAAAGAATTTTTATTCTTTCTAAACCAGAATATTTAAAAATATTGCCTCAACGTGACTCTGCTAGTATGGAAAATATAGTATACATACAGGGCAAACGCATGGGTGCACCAACACATGGCGAAAGCTGTTATATTTATTTATTTATTTATTTATTTATTTATTCAGATACCTACAGCGCCATGGGGCATTACAGTAAAGGGGGGGGGGGGGGGGGGGGAGAAGTTGGAAATGAAGAACACGAATAGTTATACAAAAGTTAAACGAGCAATATTCACAAGCCATTCATCTTTCAGTATCACAACAAAGTGCAGGCTACATAAAAAATAAAAATGCGGTCTACTAAACACTACGAACGTTGCTCAACTACTAACTAGACACTACGAGGTTAGTGTTGAATAAAACATATCGTTAGGAACAATGTTGACCACCGAGGCTGGCAAACCGTTCCAATCCCGTATTGTTTTAGGAAAAAAAGAGTTCGTATAGACGTCACTTTTACAGCGGAATTCCTTGACCTTATACACATGATCCTTTCGTTGCGATATGTAATCTGGCGGGTGAAGGTAGGCATTTCTATCTATCCCAGTCCTACAGTGAAATATGTTATTAAAAATTTTCAGTCGAACGTTCTTCCTTCTAAAGCTTAACTCCTTCCATCCTAGGCTCTGTTTCGCACGAGTCATACTAAGTCGCCTGTCGTAATTGTTTAAAACAAAACGGGCAGCCCGGTTTTGTACTTTTTCAAGTTTGATTATCTGGACAGCAGTGTGAGGATCCCATATAGTGCAGGCATATTCTAAAATTGAGCGGACATGCGAAAAATAAAGTCTTCTTTCAAGGAACGTGGTACAGGCTTAAAATTACGAGCGAGAAAGCCAAGCATTCTCGAGGCTTTAGAGACAGTATAGTCAATGTGCTTATTCCAACTTAGGGTCGAGGTTAGGAATACACCAAGATATTTGTATTCGTAGGCAACAGTGAGTGGCTCGTCATTAATGGTATAAGTACTGAGGGACGGAACACGCCGTCTCGTAAATGAGATGTGGACAGTTTCCTTAAAATTAATATTCATTTCCCACAGTTTGCATTAATCGGTAATTGCATTTATGTCTGCCTGTAGATTGTCGACGTCATCACTCGCTCGTATTTTTCGATAAACAACACAATCGTCTGCAAAGAGACGCATTGGTGATGACACAACACCCACGATATCATTCAAGTACAGCATAAACAACAGCGGCCCAAGGACGGACCCTTGCGGGACTCCTGATGTCACGTCAGCAAATTCGGACTGGCAGCCATTTAGCACAACATATTGTTTACGGAGAGACAAATATTCGCGTATCCAATATACCACTTTCTTATCAATTTTATAACCGTGAAGTTTCGCAATTAACAAGTCATGGGAGACAACATCAAACGCCTTGCTGAAATCAAGAAAAACGCAGTCAACGCTATCACGGCCATCAAGAGCACCTGCCAATTCATGTACAAACTCTGTTAGCTGTGTCACACACGAGTAGCCTTGATGAAAGCCGTGCTGGGAGGAATGTAGTATTCCCGAGGCATTTACATGATGGATTATGCCTGTATATAAAACGTGCTCAATTACCTTACAAGCGATGCTAGTTAGTGAAATCGGACGGTAATTTGTGACCACGTTCCTTGGGCCACCCTTGTGTATCGGGACCACCCGACCAAGCTTCCAATCTGACGGCAATGATGATGTATCTAAAGATTTTTCAAGAAGAACATAAAAATACAGGCAGACTACACCAGAGCATGACCTCAGAATACAAAAAGAAATGTTGTCGGGGCCTGTTGCCTTGCTTACATCAAGTTCATTTAAAAGCTTTCTAATCCCTTCCACTTGGAGCGTGATCGGAGGCATCCCATTAGTCACAAAGGGCGCATCGAAAGAAACATCCCGCTGTGCAGGCGGGTTAAACACGGAATAAAAAAATGAATTCAAAAGCTGGGCCTTATCGGTATCACTTTGTACAACACTGTCATCGTGATTAAGCGGCGTCTGCAACGTTCATGCGGAGGACGAAAAACGCCACCCAATACGCAACGTAATGGCAAAGCACGAGAATATACCGCAGATTAAAAATACGAGAAACAGCAAGTTACAATATTTAGTAATTATTGAAGATAAACGCTATGACATGCCATTTGTTTTTCTTCTGAGCATCCAAATGTACAGTTGATAATCTTACTTTTCGGTGCTTGATGGAAACATGTAATAGAAACAACAAGATAACACGCACGCGTTATGTGATGCTCAACAAACATTATACAAACTAATGGATATGTTATGTGGCGGTAAAAATATTTTATGACTAGATTACTAAAAATGTGAAGCACGTGGGAGATATAGTACTTTTCAACAATCGTGAAAAGTCTAAAGCAAAATTCTACGCGATTTTGTCGCGAACTGTTCTATGACTGACTGCGTCGCGGCGTCTTTTATGGTTGTTTTTTCGTTGCGCGCACTAGAGGGGAGAAACTTTGGCGTCGGTGTGGGCCTCCTGCGCTGCCCAGAGGGTGCTGCGAATGGGACTCGTTAGGACTTGTATTTACACACAAAAATTTACACAAAAATTTACACAAAAATATCCATGCAGCAAAAAGTCTCTGCACCGAAAAGTCCGTGCTCCAAAATGTCGGCACCGAAACGACCTACACCGAAACTTCCCTACACTGAATGGACCTTTTGCAGAAACATCGGTTCGAGAGTAACTGGTTCCAGTACCCTGTCTCTCTTCCTTCTGGCCGAGCAGAGAGGGAAGATGGTTTCGTTGTGTCGACTTCGGGGCGGTAGATTACGCACGATGGGGACAAAGGCGAGTTTAGGGGAGCCGTATCTAGGTCACAGTGTCTCAATGGGTGAACAGGATGTAGCTGACGTTGTGGGAGTGCAAAGGGTGGGAGAGGCCTCGCGCGCGCGTTGTTTTCTCGCCACTTAGCCTCGACCCCAGTCGCGTGTCTAGGTGGCAGCACATATTCGCCAAGAGGTCCATTTTAGCGTCTCAAACTGTCACGCATGCAGAAGCGTGCTTGCTCTGGTGCGGAGCGCGAGATCACGATGAAAATACAAAGACAGAACAAAAATTCGAACGCCGTCAAAGCTAAGACGCTGAGAGCGTGAGCCAAGAGATGCCGTTTCACGCGTTCCAAAGTAGAGATCGAAAAGGAAAAAAAAAATTAAAGCGTCGCGACACAGGTGTTGTGACGGCACCACCCAGAGGTAAGGGACGCGTGCCCTAGCGGTGGTGTCATGAATTTGTCACTTTCGATTCTCTTGCAACGTTGAGTTTGGCCAATTTCTGGCGTCCAAAGGTGTTTTTTCGTTCTTTAGCACCACATAGAATTGAAAAAGCTCGACCAACGTGCCATAAGTAGTGCTATGCTCAATCAGGTGAGCTTGTATACCCAAAATGAGGGCGCTACAGTTTGTTCAAAGCTTCAGCGCAGGTGGCCGGCGCCGTCGCGCCTCGAGTTGGGCCAACTTTGCGCCCCCTCCTAGATGATTAGAGGGGGTGGCCGCCCCCCCAGCCTTCCCTGTGCGCACGCCTATGCCTGGACCGCCACCACTGTTCTGTGGACGCGGGAGTAATAATTGTGTGCTAGGTGGCGCAAGCTACAATCCATTCCAATCTGTCAGTCACTCATTTATCCACTTATCCCGTTCAAAGCTAACACCATCTATCCATCGATCCCGCAATCCCGCCACAGTTAAAAAATAATCGAGTATGGAGGTAGTTGAGTTTTAGGCGGTTTTTGGTGGCGTTGGATACGGTTGAAGAACCTGCCGAACCCGGAACACCTGCTGATTATCGCCACCATGCCGGGACAAAAGCAGATATTATCGTTTTTCAAGCCAGTGGGAGCCTCGAAAAGGTTGCTGTCGACCGAAGACGCCGTGAGTGTCCTTTGTTGACTTTCCAAATGGACGAACACGTGCGCGCCGGGCTTAGGTAACGCGCCCGACGCGCCGGTGAACCACGTGGTTTAGAGTCGACGTTGATCGATCCGAGTCATTACGCTGTAGCAATATCACATCGTGAGCTTGAAAATAAGAGTTTGGGTCTTCATTTGATCTCTCACCAAGTGTATTGCAGCCGCTCATCTGCTTGTTCCCGAGAGGTGCGCGGTGGGGTAGAGGCACTGACACTTTCTTCGCCTCTGTTCTTCGCCTCTGCTTACCCAGAGTGCGGGTTGTTACCACCGCCTGCCTTACCAACGGTGACGTGTTCTAGTAGTGAGACAGGTGTTTTGTTCCTCCATTTTGCGTCACTGTGGCCCAAACTTTACCACCAAAGCTCCTGCAAAAAAAAAAAAAAAAAAATTTTTGCTGTACTTTTTTAGATTTTTTAGCTTTGTGGCTGTCGTGAACTGGGACATTGCCTCTAGCAGCGGAGAGTCTACAGATAGGCTTTTCATCTCCAAACATTAATTAATGTATATATATATTTTTTTTTTTTTTTGTATGTGTGTGTTTTGTGCAGAAGTCTTTAAACTGTATGGGCCGATCTCGGAGATGTTGCCTCCCGAGGGGTCCATATCACAAGAGCGAATGACATTTTAGCGAACGGCGACATTTGAGCGAATGGTCGTTTTAGCGAATAACGGGGGCGCGCGTTAACCCACCTGTCGAGCTGCGCTTTACGCCGCTTCGCGGCGACAGTCTGCGGCAACTCATTACAAAAATATGAACTCACTTGGCCCACCCGAAAACGCCGCTTCGCGGCGTCCGACTATTCGCTAAAGTGTCGTTCGATGAAACGTGGGCGTTCGCTAAAACGTCATTCGATCAAGTGAGTGCCTCCCCCTCCCGAGTATGGCGCCTGAAATGTGTCGTCGACTCGTGTGTCTACCGTGTCATCACTTGTGGTCCCTCTATTGCTGGCTGCGATCCTGGCAGTAGCCAACAGCAGAGGTGGATGTTACAGACACCTGCTCTGCCATAGGGCAATCTCGAGCTTGACACTCCGTGGATGCTTAAATAAACAGCCAGGAGTTGGGGCGCAGTGATGGCAGCAACACTTGCTTTGGCTTGTCTTTTTTTCCCAAACTTACGTAACTTGTTGCCACCTCAGGACCACTTTCGATTCAGGGCGGTACAGGACGCCAAACACGCCGGTTGAAAACACTTTCCAGGCACTTTACTCCCGAGGTTTGCCGCTTCCCTTGACCCGTTCGCCCGACTGTAGGAGAAGGCGCCCAAGAGAGCCAGGAAAGGCGAGGGCAGTGAGGAACCTGCATCTGCAGACGAGATTGAGCGGAAGCGGCTGCTGGCTAAGCTGAAGCTGCGGTGCCGAGCCACACCGGTGCTTACCGAGAGCTTCGGACTCGGCTGGTTCGCCGCCCTCGAGGCCGAGTTTTCCAAGGACTACTTCCACGAGGTGAGCCAAGCACGATGGGAGGTGGAAAAGATGAGAACTTTGGCCAACTGAGGTTTGTAGGCACGGGCCTAGCCAGCCTCAAATTCACTCCGCAACATTCTCTCGCTGCCGTATGCATGTAGCAGTTGCATTTAGAGCAAAGCCCCGCTCAGTTCTAGCCGGCTGGAAGCCGCCTCAATCAGCAAGTCCAGTCTCGTTTCAAAATTCCGAAAAATGATGTTGTACTTCTTGTAACGTAAAACCCACCATGCTCCGACGTACCGCCATGTGCAGCCATTGCTGCCCACATAAAAGGCTTCTTTGAGAGGTGTCATCTGATCTGCTTTGCGGGGAACTCTGACACATTTAACAACCTTTAAGTGTCTGGTGAATGCAGTGTGGAAACACTTTAACGTGTACGAGCGAAAGTCAAGCCAGACTTGCCTTTTTTAACGGCTCCCTTTGAAATGCATGCAAACTTCTGTTACTTCTCCGGACATCTGAGGGGTAAACCAGGGACGGTTGGGAACCACTAAGTGTGGCGTGTGGCTCAGGTTGGGCGGGGTGCACCCCCTCATATGCTTGCAGCTGAGCCGGTTCGTGATGGAAGAGCGGCAGCGCCACACGGTGTATCCCGCCCACGAGGACGTCTTTGCGTGGACGCGCTGCTGCGACATCGACAAGGTCTGGCACTAGAGGGCAGTAGAGCCTCCAAACAAGCTACGCCGAGAATATTGACACTCCTATATTTTCGTTTTTGGATGTCGCCATTTTGTTGTCTGGTGCTAAATGGGTGCAATTGACGATGGTCATGATTGGAAAGTATGACTTCCTGAGCTTTTGGTGCAGTGTCAGGGAAGCTTGGGTGATATTGTGTTGCTGTGTCCCAAACTTCTAACGCTTCTAAGCATTTCCCGGAATTTCGGACAAATGTTCAGATAACTGGTAACAGTGATTAAAAGCAACAAGATGGCTGAAGTGTTGTTACTTTTGGGTGTAGCTTGTTGAGTTGCACCAGAGGGGAGTGGTGGTCCGTCCTTATCGCCTCCCTCTCCCCAGGTGGCTGTTGTCATCTTGGGCCAGGACCCGTACCATAACCCGGGCCAGGCACACGGTGAGCTTGAGTCTCCGTCCACATTGACGACTTTCGCAACTTCATGAAGGTCGTTAACCCAACTCGCTCCACGTGCCAAAGTCTGCTGACGTGCAAGAACTACTTGGCAGTGTGCAGCTTGAGGGGACAGAGCAGTGCTTGTACCCTTTAGAGGTTGTTTTCTTCTTGACACGGCAATTGCTAAAGTAACATAGGTTTTTTTGCTAGTTTCCCCAGGATCAGGTCCGGTACCAAACAAATGTCGTCACCCGTGGTTGACACAACACTCTGGTTGCTGCTGTCGCTCATAGATGGCGGTAGCTGTCCAGGGTGTTGTGTTTACCGGTTGTCTGCTTGTCGCCATCACTCATAGATCGCGGCAACCTTTCCAGCCTCGGCAACCAGACAACTGGTTGCTGCCGCCGCTCATAGATGGCAATAACATTTCTTGGGAGGAAGATGAACGGGACCGGAACGAACGGCAGCCGCCCTCATAGATGGCAACAACATTTCTTCGGAGGAAGAAGAGCGGGACCGGAACGAACGGCAATGTGCGCAGAAGCGCGAATGCTTCCGCAACTGCCACGAGGCCGCTACCGCCTAAAGTTCCACTGCATAGAGCGCTTCAGATTCCCTTGCGAAAGAAGAGCAGATCGCTCGCCTGGAAAGCCACCGCCGAGAACGGGAGCTACAGCTCCGCTGCTGCTCCTTCTTCACCAGAGTGGGAAGGCTGAAAGTTTTTTAGTTTCAATCTGGCTTTTACCTGTTTCTCAAAGAAATTAATCCTTCAGAAACCCTGTGTGCACATTTTACTGAACAAGCCATCTTTTCAGGGTAGTAATATGGTTTTGTGATACTGCATGCTAACAGGCAGTTGGTCATGTGGCAAATTCACTCTGTCCTTGTTGTTGAAGTGGCCTTGAGAAGATACTTTCACTTTGGCTAGTTGGTGTCCGGAGACAACACTTGACATTTGAGTGTCATTTTCTTTGCATGCACATGGTTTTCACATAAAGTGCATCTGAGAAACTTACTTCTTATCCTCCTCAACTACACTTTTTTTTTTCTCAACTGACCAGTCCTTCTCCTACTAAAGCATGCAACTACCAAAAAATACCCAAGCATCTGCCCATCCCACAAAAGCGCTCACCCCTCAAGTTTGTAACATTCGGAAAATACACAAAGGACATACCTTTACATGTTGTTGACCTAAGGAGCGCCCATCCCCCAGTTTTTATGATTATCTCCAAATTTTGAGTGGGCACTTGCTCAGGATTTTACTGTAAGGAACATATCTTTGGCGACCAATTGTCCACTTGGTCGGGCTTGCCAAGGATAGGACGCAAAACGGCTGTAGTCATTGAGAATGAGAAAAAACTGTTGCAGCCAATAGACACGTCGCTACATGATTATTCGCTGCACTGTTTGTGCCAAAGCGCTTACCCTTCTACCTTATGCTAGGTATCGTCAAAAATTAGGAATTTGTTTTAACTTTGTGTCGAAAGATACTAGTTTCTCTTTCTCGGTACCAAAACCAGTAGTGGTCAGTTGAGAATTTGTGAAACTTTTGATTATCAGTTTGAGTAATGTGCTATTCAATTTGGCCTTTGCTTTGACCACTGATGGCACTTGGAAGTTCTGCACTATTTCTTATTTGGAAGAGGTGGGGGGTAGGTTTGTTATTTAGCTTCATTGAGTGCACTAGACAATGCTGCGCTGTGGAGAAGAGCGCCTTAAAGGGAAGCTGAAACACGTCTTGAAAAAAATCTGGTTAGAGGTGAATTCTGGCGTATCTTTATCCTGTGAATCTAAATATCACGTTAGTTTTCCCCGAAGATGTAACTAAACACGAAAAAAAAACGCAAAAAACCCAAGACTTGTTGCGACGTCATACTAGGATTTTTGGGCTGCAAAGTGCGCATTGCTCATGTGGGCGGCGTGTGCAATTGCAAGTTTGCCAGGTACATTTTTCCGCACTGACACCAGTCATTTTGTCTCTTTCTGACCTTTTTGAAAATAGCAAGACTGCGCATGCATAGCTTTGACAGGCACTGAAGATGCGCGAGCGCAGAGATTCTGAAAACTCCTGGTGTGACATTACGTCCCAAGAAGGAAGGGCTTCGGTGGTCCTTTAAAAATTAATTTCTCCAGCCTCGTGCACCAAATTGAAAAATAATCTCGATGTTCGTGATCCTGGAGGCCGAATGAAGGCCATTTAAGTGTTGTTCCCTTGCTCCCGCACTAACTACAACTTACAAACTTTACATTACAACCTACCACTTGTTTTAAATAAATGCCTCACAAGCAACATAAACATATACACGATTAGCAAACGAGACTTGCGCTCTTATATCTTCGTTGTTCCCTAACTTCTTAGTGTTATAATGTTTACAAAGTTCCGTTTTTTTTTTTTTTTTATGGTTTTTTTTTTTTTTTAAATGTTACGCTAGAAGTGTTGCGCACTACCAAGCTGCTGCCATGTAATAAGGGTCCCAGACCCAGTCAAGCTGTCTCAACAGCTTTTTGTCTGGGACTCCATCCAGTGTTTCTGGAAAATAAAGCTTTGATTTGATTTGATTTGATCTGAATACAGAACCACTTCAATTTCCTTTAATAGGGTTGTGCAAATATTTGATATTTTGAATAGTAGTTTCCAACAATGCACTATTCGATATTCGCTTCGAGAACTGCATATTTGCGTTTTTTTAAGTGTTGATTGCGGCGCGTTAGCCCCGTTGAGTGCGCTTCTTACCGAGCACTGGTGCACTGCGGTGAAGCAATACCCGCGGAAGTAAGCTCCACGGGTGTTACTTCTCTGCACAACATCGGTGCTCTGTAACAAGCGCACTCAACGGGGTAACCCACAGCAATAAGCACATGGAAAAGTATGAATATCGAAGTTGCATGCTTGGAAGTAAAGCATACATTCAGAGCGGGATGGTGCACTCGTGCCGGCTGTGTTTGACAATAAATGGAAACTTTGTGCATGTGGATATCTACATTGTAGTAAAAGTTTTAAAATTAAACTGACTGTTATGCAAGAGTAGACTATGTTAGGCCGAGATGCCTTTACAACTTGCGTTCATCGTGCGAGATTCATTCTTTTTTAACTCGAGATTAAATAAAGAATATTTTATATAGCAAGATTTGTAAATTCACTCAATTGGGTATAGTTGGCCATCTCTATAGGATTCATTTTATGTCAAATCCGTCATTTACTTGCCATCCCAAGACACGAGACCTGAGCCTACAGTTCATAAATTAGATAGATTGAACTTAGATGAACAAGTGGAACAACCTTCACATGTTTAGCTGGGTTTTTGTCAAGTATTGTGCAATGGTAGTGAAAGTCGTGGAAAAACTATTCAATATTCTAATCGAAAATATTCAGCCAAAACCACTATTCGCTTTGAATTCGCTGCGAACTCAAAATTTACTATTTGCACAAGAGACTACCCTTTAAGATAGACTCTGTGATCTTACATGTCCTGGTTAGCTGCAGCACAACTGCGTGCTTAGGGAAAAATACTCCTCCAGGACAAGATGGTGAACGTGCGTCAACTATCTAAAATAAAATTTAAAAAAAAACAAAAAAAAAACTATATATCTTTGCAAAACTTGCAGTAAAATTTTTTTAAATAGTACCGATAGATTGCAATGTCCTGTTGAGTTGTATGTGTCATTTGCAATTACTTTTGCTTTAAAATTCGAAATTTAAAGTAGAGTATTAGTGAATTGCGGTAGGGTTTCTAAATTCCATTGACTAGTTGTAGGTGCACTGAACTATAGGTTTAATATTCATGTCAAATTCTTCCTTTAGTTAGCATCTCCATAATGACTTTCAACTGTTTGAGGGTGTCATCAACAAATAAAGTATAAATTAACATTAAATAATCTTGAGCAGTAAATGAACGCACTGTTAGAAATTTTTTAAAAAATTCACGAGTTTACAATGATTTTTAATTTAAAAATTCATGGTTATCACCCACATATTCATTTCATATTATTGTAAGATCGTACATGCAAAGTGAGGTTGTCGAGGAGCTTTGTATTTTAAGTGAATTAAGAATTGCTTTTATTTTAAACCTTCAGAACAAATTATAAAACATCTAAGTTGGTACTCAATCTTATTCAATTTTACCATTATTTCAGTGGAATACTATTTGAATAACTTATTATACTATGCCTAAAATAAGCGGTTGCACATGCTCGTGCTATGTGTTTCATCAACAAGTATCTGTTTTAAAAGCAGCTACTGCAGCGGGGCTTTCTAAGCAAAAAGTGTGGCTCTTGTAACAACATTCTTGATATTATGTCTGGTGCATTTAAGAACAACTAAACAGCTAGTTGAGCATTTCTGATGCTTATCAGTGATTGCACAGCAGTAGGAACACAAAAAAAAAGGCATTGTTTAAAAACACATAATGCTTAATCTATAGCATTTGCAGTCAAATGAATGAAAGTGAAGTGTATAGATCTGCCCGAGAGTTACTTTTGCTGCTTCTAAAAGTGCTCCAAATGAACTGAAACCAACCACATGACTGATCAACCCAACCACCAATTTTCGTTTTCTGATCCCTTCAAAACACCTCAAAGATATGGGCAGCTGTTTGCACTGTCATCAATGGCTTAAAGGTAATACCTAGGCTCGTTTACATCAGACGGAAGCTGATGTAAACGAGCCAGTTATCGCCAAATGCTATATGTTGTCAAAGGCTGACGATCAAGACTTTCTGCAAGGCAGGGGACAGTCCTTCCCCTCTCAATGTGTGGAGGAGGTGGGGACTAAACTTTTGTGGGAGGAGGGATCGAGTAGACTTCTTTTCCTTTCCAGGCCTGGCGTTCAGCGTCCCCAAAGGAGTGGCTGTGCCACACAGGTGAGACTTTCAAGGCAGTATTAAGAGGCGTAGTGGAGTATCATAACTTGTGGCGAGTGTTTTGAGCATGCAAGCACTCCTTCTGAGCTCATTTTGGCAAAGTCTCTAGCATGTGTTTGCCACACAGGAGTGGATGTTGGAGCCAATATTTTTATGCTTAGGGCTCTTGTTTTGTGGCCATTTGTTGCTCTAGGCTCACTGCATTTGCCTAGTGCGTGTGAGAGTATGTGTATGTGCTTTCTTAAATGCTCAAGGCTGAGCTCTATTGTTATCTTTGAGGATCCAAGGTAACTTACACAAGGGGCTGACTTGTTTCTTTTTCCTTTTTCATGGAAAGAAGGAACACTCTTGCGAATAGCAGAGGTAAATGGCGCATAAAGGCAGCACCCCAGCGCCACCTGGAATCTTAAAAAATCCCTATCCGACTTCAAATTCAGCCGCAATATCCTCTTAAATTACTGAAGATGATATCTTGCTCACAATTAGCCAACATCAAGTTCTTGCCACCTTACTAACCCAATTGTTGCTGTGAGTGGGGTTGAAGCTCTTCCCGCCTTTGTGGCGATTGTGCTCCCAGCCTGATCAACATGTACCGGGAGCTGGAAGAAGACGTGCCAGGCTTCCAGAAGCCCCCGCACGGAAACCTGACCGGTTGGGCGGAGCAAGGTACACCTAGTCCCGCTCTGCGCGCGCGCCGCTTCTGCTCGGTTTGAGGTATCCGGGGCTTCTTGCTACTCACTTAACTGCCAATTGCCACCTGCAACACGCGCAGCAAGGGTGCTTGCAGTTCTTTCTTTTGGAGAAACTGGACATTGTTTTAGCCACAACATTCTCAATACCTATGACCATGTACCTCGAGGTCTCCCGGCTTAGTCTGTACGCCTCCCGTTAGGTGGCGCTGGAACTCAAACTTTTGTAATAGCCGTGGGTGGCAGGCTGCTTTTTCATTGTATCAAGCACACTTGCTGCCGGCATATAGAGAGCGTTTTTATCAAAATCAGATTTTTCTTTAATAAAAGCAACGAAAGCTATGCAAATGCGGTCTGCTAAGTGAGTTATACGGCCAGGCAGACATTGTCAAGAGGAAATGCAACTAAAAGATGACCATTTAACAAAAATTCACGAATCGCTTTTTTAATTAGGCATCATAGGGCACATGCTAACGTGAAACATTCTTTGGCATGGTCTTCGGCATTTCATGAAGCCCAAAAGTGTGGCCACGAGGCTCGACATTTAGGATTTGAGCGACGAGGGAAAAGAGGCCATAGCAGTAAAAAAATGTTTGTGCCATGCGGGAATCGAACTCAGACCATTTTATTATTAAGCGAGTGTCTTTCCAGCGCATCTCGACACATTGCTGCGAGTGCGATTTGGCAGGAAAGCCCTGCAGGACATCTGCTCTGCGTCCAGCAGATAACAACGCTTGTATCTCCATTCCGGTAATTGCAATAGCGTGTACATGTCGTGCGTTAAGTTATTCACTAAACTAACCAATGAAGAGTGCCGAGAGTGTGGATGCCGCACGTTTCACAGCAGCGCAATTTCCCAGCAAGTTGCTATACATTTTTTTATTGAAGTGGAGGTAATCAATGTTGAAGGCCAGCCCAGTTTTCAGAAACCCCGGGTCGAGCATGCAGTCCCAGTTATCCATTGTCAAATGTTGGTTTGGAAAGTCTCTCGATACTGAAACCAAACGCACAATGCCCGCCGGAAGGAAAACCCTGAATCGACATCGAATGGTCACGCGTTAACGACAAATTTTGTGTCTCAGCGTGCTGGAGCTGATTTCAGTCGGTGTCCTGTGGCTGGCGAACTAAAGCGATAAGCCACCTTAGAGGCCGCCACAAGTTGCTTTGCTTTGCTACACGATATCATTGACTCGCACCCATGATTAAAACGTTTTTCAGTTATATCGCCTAACAAAGCAAAGAAACTCGTCACGGCCGATAAGGTAACTTACCACTTCAGTTCGCCTGCCAGGAACACCGACTGCAACCGGCTCCGGTGCGCTGTGATGCAAAATAGCATTGGCAATTTCGTCATTAACACAGAACACTCCGCCGTCGAACGAGAGTTGTCCTTCTGGCGGTCATCTCGCATTTGGTTTCGGCATCGTCTGATTTCCACAACAAAATTTGACAATTACTCCAACTGCTTGCTAAATCCAGGATTTTTAAAACTGGGCTGGCCTTCGACATCAATTACCTAAATTTTTTCATATAAACATGTAAATTTTCCTTAATTAGTAATCTTTTAGTTCAGAAAAGTCCGTACTCAAAAAAGAAAAGACCCCGTATATCGGGCTGCCCATCTGGAGGGTACCTCCCAATGTCCCTGTCGCAAATTGTTTTATCACATTCTACTACCACTACTGACCTTCAAGCATCTCTGCCGTACAATCTATTTAACTGGACCAGTGCATGCTCATTTTTCTCACCCCTGTAAGCTGGTGCCACAAGAAGGACGGTTGCCATTTGAGCTTTTAAGAATGCTTCACGAGATGCCAAAGCATTGCCGAAGGTAGGAGGGTCACACTGGACGCCAGACAACTGGAAGTCCCACCTGCCGTTCCTGTCGGTGATCAGTGACTATAGCCAATACCACCTAAAAGACAAGCCCTGCGCCTTATCGCCTAAACGTCCTCACTAATGGATCCACGTAGTGCTGCCTAGCTTGCATTGGCATTGCCGCCAGCGCGTCTCGCAGCGTCTTGTAACCAGCACGATTCTGAACTCCATTCACCTTTAAGCTGAGACTGCGGTGTGAGCTACGCTGTCGCCGGACCAGTCGACCGCCTCTTTCAACGCCTAACCCAGCTCTCCGCGCGAAGATGCGGGCGAGAGCGTGATCACGTGCCAAAGGAATGACATACGATTTGTCCAACACGCTCGTAGCTACACTGCAGTCTCGACTTGGGGGTGAACGGAGTATAGCATGCGGCGACACGAAGACGGACGCGTCTGCCACTTTGCGGCATCTCCTGTCGAACTTTGACGCGTTTGCCGCTTGGAGTGTGTTGAAAATCCACTAACGACAACGACGTGCGCAGGCGTTGTCTTCTAGGTGGTGTTGCTATAGCGCACAATAAATGCTGCTAGACCATGCAGCAGTTGCAATACCGGTGGCTTTGCAGATTGCAGCGAGACGTCCGACCCAACATGCTTTTCAGGGAGGTTGGGCGTGTGCCTAGGGACGGTACAGCCACGAACGAGCTCTCGTGTTCCACCAGACTTGTTGTTGAGCTAGCTGGTGCACGATGCTCGATAAACTCATAAGTGGAAACAGAGAAGTGGGGGAAAACAGACGAGCGCTGCTTGTGCATCTCTTTTGGCCCTCACAAGCGTCCCGAGCAAGCCCTGGTTTGTGTGTGTGCAGGGGTGCTGCTGCTGAATGCATGTCTGACGGTGCGTGCCCATGCGGCCAACTCCCACAAGGACCGCGGCTGGGAGAAGCTGACGGATGTGGTGGTGGGCTGCCTCAACAAGCGCCAATCCAACCTCGCTTTCCTGCTGTGGGGTGCCTATGCCCAGAAGAAGGGCGCCATCATCGACAGGGTGGGTTGCGCCTTTGGCCGCTCTGGGCCCGGCGGAACGTTGCGCGCAAGTTCGCCTGCTTCTTGTGCAGGTGGAGCGGTGATAGAATACCACCTGTTAGGTGAATCCGACTCGCCCCATGCGTCTTGGTGTCCCCGCATGTTAGTGACGCGCTCCTTGCCAAGCTCATACTGGAAAGGTAGTGGGTGGATGTAATGGCTGGCTGAGTGCGTAAATGAAGTGGCTAGCTCTCTACCCACAGTCTCTGTCCGATCAGAGCAAGCAAAATAGTCGTCTGCTCCTTGCACAAAAGGAGCAGTGGCATCAGGGTCGGGCAACGTTCTTAGAATTATCGGTTGACAAGCTCCACGGAAAAGCAGTGCTCGAAAATGTTTCTTCTCTTTTGCCTGCACGCGAGCAGGTATGGGCGGATGTCCTTCCTAGCGCCGCCAGCGTCAACGTCTCCACGGGAATGAAGAAAGACACTCTCTTTGCGCAAACTTTGCGTTTACCATAGAAACCGCGAAATAATCCATTTTTACTGCAAGTAATGTGGATCCAGCAATTCACCGGTTCTGTTCATAGGGCAGGCTGATAGTGTAGAGAGCGCACATGCCACGAAAATGCGCTAGGGTTGTCAACAGACTTTGATCTAGTAACGTTGGGGTCAGGTGCCGAATGCCGGCATTGCCTGCTAGTCCTATCGGCGAGTCTTTTTACAGCTTTCAGTAATCTGTTTGTTTTTTGCAAACGAGGACAGCCTTAGAGAAAAAGGAAGAAAATCCTCAAAGGGTACATTGTTTTTGGCAACCACCAATTACCAGACGCGTTCCAAAGAACAAGGAATCAACAGCCGAGCTATCGTCTGCTCCAGACCGAGGGGCAGCTTTAGGGGCAGAGCTTTGTTGCGCATGCGATCACTAACTCTAAGCATGCCTCATCTCCTCCTCCCCTTCACTTGCGTGCTGCATTAGCTGCCAACTGTTCACTTCCAGTTGCGCGTGTAATGCAGCGAGTGTTCTGCATTTCTTAGAGCAGTGGTTCTCAAACATTGATGTCTCGCGGACCACTTGTGGATCAGCGGTGATAACTGAGGACCCCGTTCGGTGGTGAGGGGAAGGGAAATGTATAGGTTAATTATGATAGTGATTTAATAACTGAATATAACTTAAGGGCTTTTGTGAAATAGACTTCTCTTATTGACATATATATGAGAAGACTCACTCAGAAATTGGAACGTTTCTTCTCAATCTGAGAAAAGAGACTTTTATTGTCGGGCTTAACTGATGAGGCTGGGCTTCGCGGACCCCCATTTGAGAACCAGTCTTAGAGCATCACTTTCTTTTTCATGCCAGGGTTTCTGAACCTTTCAATCTCGACCACCACATTTCTGCCTTGAATGGTAGCCAAGAAACTCTTTTTTGACATTGTTGCAGCAAAGCAGTTCAGCAGCTATGTAGTTAGGACACCTTCAGACTTGGTCATCAATGATGCACAAAGCTAGCGGGTGCCCGGCTCATAGTCATGCATAAATATGAAACTCGGTCATGTTGGGAAGACCCATGGCTAGGGACGACCGAGGGAGTTTTAAGTACTCCAGAAAGCAAAAACAGGTTTCCAAGGGTTAAGTCAAAAACACCAAAACCTAAAAAAAAAAAAAAAAAAAAAAAAAAAATTCAACATATATTTTTTTTGGGGGGGGGGGGGGGGGCATCAACATTTGTATTTCTGTCTCAAACTGCTCAAAAATGTTTGTTTTTTCTTTCCCCTCCAACTCGCATGGCAGAAGCGGCACCTGGTCCTGCAGTGCGCTCACCCGTCTCCCCTGTCGGCATCGAGGGGCTTTTTCGGCTGCCGCCACTTCTCCAAGGCCAACGATTACCTGGCACAGCACAATCGACCCCCTATCAACTGGGGACAACTGCCCTAAACCGGGCACACTCCCTCTCTCATCTTTCGAAAAGCATAAAGACAGTTTTAAGCAAGGCAGTTGTGTCTGGCCAGTCTTTCATTGGTGTATGAAGCTCGAGGGTGCGAGGAATTGCAGCCTCTATGGCAATGGCCTGATACTATTCACCCCAAGCTGCCAGACCAATCAACCTCCTGCATTTCATCACCTGATCCATCTCTTCACGTCAGAATGGAGGGGGCGTGATCACATGGAAAGACAGACGTGCAACAGGTCCGACAAGCACATACAAGGCTTGCACAAGTCCTTCAAAACTCGAGTCTTCAAATTGAAAAGCCTTAAATTTGAAAAGGTCTTTTTCCAGACCTTGAAAGCTCTGGAATTTCTAGCGGTACTTAAAAACCCTTAAACTTCCCAATGATAGCCAGTTTTTGTTTTACAATCCTAAAACAATTTTTTTTTTTTTGATGTGTGTGTTAACATAAATTTTGAAATTCCGATGATGAAGTTTTCTTATATGGCACATTTAGCAGATGCCTGGCCACAAGGGTCACTGATCCTACAGCTTCAGCTGGTCACTTCATTGAGAAAGTTGAGACAACAGGGGACATCACCTAGAATAATATAATCCCTGGAAAAGGGGGACAAAGGACAAACACAAAGCTACAAACACAGCTAAGTGACTGGTGCACAATTGAAATAATCTGCCTGGTCCTGGTATTGAACCAGGGGCCTCTCCATTTTCAGTGGAGCGCTCTACCGAGCTAACAAAAAGTTGGACGTCAGTAGAACAAACTGGTTTTGTCAGCTGCCACCAGTCTAACACCAAAAGTGAATGGCCTGCATTTTAAGGTTATGATAATGCAACCGGTGCAAAGATGCAAGCGAGCTGGACAAAAAAGACGAGAAAAATCCCTGGAGAAGGGGGACAAAGGACAAATGCAGATCTCCAAATGTGTTTGAAACTTTGTGTTTGTCCTTTTTTCTTAGTTGGAAGGGGTCCTTGAAAATATCTTTACAGACCCTTAGAGGGATACTTCAACGAAATTTGAGATATATTCGTCGTGTTCAAAAATAGGTTGAACATGATCCACAATATCCGTAAATGACAATAGCACTTTTGTATTTTGAGCCTGGTGGCTGTATTTTTTGTTATAAACGGCCCACTCTAGCAAGCGCTCGGAGAAGGCCCAGCTTAGAGCATGTGACATCCGACGCAATCATGATGTAGGTCGTCTCGGGACGAGCAAAGCTACGGCGAGGCTGACGTCGAGGGGATGGCCTAGTCCCAGCCACCGAAGTGGCTGCTTTTGTATGAATTTGGAGCGAGTGGTTAATCTTTTATAATCTTGTAGGGGGACAGTAGCCACTTCTGGAACACACAAAAGGGATTCTCGTGAAGACAAGAGTTCCTCCTTCCCCTCTTCTCTCGTTGTGGCCGGAGGCGAGACACTCGCCCTCACTAGCTGTCAAGGTTCCTAGACAGGCATTACAAATGAGGCGTTAGCGACATCCACCAGGTGCTCTTTCCTAATCGTTTAATTCGTTTTAAAATTCCTTTTCGTGTTTTTTTTTAACAAGATATTGATGTGTCCGACATGATACTGCTCCTTTGAACACATATAGACCATAAAATAAGCGCCGAAATTTCGTTGTAGTATCCCTTTAAAAGGCCTTGAAAACCCTCAAATTTTCCCTTTGAAGCCTGTACGAACCCTGACACACCGTCCACTGCACTGTTGGCTTAGGGATGATTGGAGTATAGACGTTGTGCTGCAAGGTGCAATGCAGACACGAGCAATATGCCATCAGGCTGTCTAGATGGAAACATTTTCAGGAAAGGGGGGGAAAAGAAAGGGTTCTTGCATACACTCCTTGCAACCAACAGTGAACACAGAAAGTGCATAATTATGAGGTTTCTTCGATGAGATGTTATGCAGGGCGATGCCGCTCGTAGAAGACCACCTAGCTGCTGGGACTAGAAAATAATTTCATTGACCATCTCGGTTGGCTAGACAAAATTCAATAAAACAAAGCCCTCCATGGTAAGTGGTCTTAGTGCTGCCGTATCTCACCCACCCGTGTCATCTCGGTCTTGAAGCAGGTGACACTTCTCATTTGATGGTGTCGCCCATTCCTTTAGAGATTATGATGATATCTGTGGGTATTATTCTTTTTGAAGGGATGTTTAAACTGGGCTTTGTTTTTTCCCATTATTTTCATTTCCATGTTTTTTACATGTACGAACAGTCGGTTGAAAGTCCATGCTTGTCATTAAAGTTTTCCTCCATTTTTTTTTTTTGTAATACATTAACTAGCTTAATTACATGCATTATTAATTTGCAATTTGGTAAAAAAAAATGACAACTAGAAATAAAAATATATTCCTTCAGAGGGAAGTAGGCACTCCCTTTGTAAAGAATGGCAAATTGTCAGAAAAAAAAAAATTAAGCATTTGCATGTTGTACACAATGCAACGTTTTACATTTCCTTTCTCAACTGTTTACCTATATTTTTTTGCTTTTTTTTTTATATGCTGCCGCACGCCTAGGGAGAAACCGCTTATACAGTGTGTGGTGGCACATGCCTTGAGGACGGCAGACAGGATTGCAAAATGCGACGCAAAATCCCACTTCGCACGGTTAGAAGCTCGTCTGAGTATTGCTTGCCTTCCATCTTTCCTCCGTTCGGGTGCGGGCAAGCCAGGGCTAGGGTCGCGTCGCACAATTTAGAACTCGACCCGCTTCGGAACACCGTCTTTTATTTCACAAGCGACAGACACGGTAAAAACACCACAAAACGAGACTGCCGGAAATGCTCCCGTCCCACCGTAATTACAGAATTGTACACACAGTTACGCCTACTCTGGAAATCCGCGCGGAGATTCCGAGCGAACGTCGCTCGCACGAAGCGAGTGCGGCCCGCCTCACCCGCCCTCGGGGGACGGGTCTGGTTGGCAACCGCGCATCCGGCGCCACACTCGAGACGGACCGAGGACGCGCTCGAAAAACCCGGCCACCCACTTAGTCCCCTCGAAAGTGCGTCCACCGCACGGCTTCCAAAATGCACATTTCCAAGCTAGAAAAAGTACAAAAACATTCGCAGGCATACAGCTAAGTAGAACAGTCTGCTTTCCTTCTCGCGCCGATCCCTCGCGACGCCTCTGAGCATCCGACGTTGCGAAAGCCTTTAAGCTGAGGCACTCGTGGGCGATTCCACGACGGAGGCTGGCTGCCTCCGATTAAGGCGGGCCAAAGGGCCCCACAACCCGAGGCCGGCGCAGAAACGGCGGTCGGCCACGTACAACCCCGGCATAAAAAAAAACCGCGCGCTTTGCTGGCCCCTCCCCTCGACGGCGGCACGGGTGGCGGCACCCGTCGGTAGATGCACGCAGAGGAAGGAGGTGTGCCGCCTTTGGGGAAGCGAGCTTTGGTGTGTCAGCTATGGGGGGGGAGGGGGGGCTGTCGGGGGTTGTGGGGGTGGGAGGGGGGGGAGAGAGTGGACGTGTGTTGCTCAGACATCCACCAGCTGGTCATCCTTGTACAGGGTGCGTCCGTTGCCCCGCTGCTCCGTGGCATCCGGGCTCACAGGACCCGAGGGAGTACTCTCATTCGACCTGTAACAGGACGCGGGTCCACATGCTCAATAAAAGCCTAGGTCCTCAAACTTTTCAATCTCGAAGAATCTCCTTCAATTGACGGCTGGGGAACCCTCCCCTGCCTTGGCATTGAAACACTGAAGCGGTGCAGGAGCTAATGGGCCCTCTAATAGTAACTGTCATACTAACAATTGGCTGATAGCTATGAATCAATGGGGGGCTCAGATTTTTTGAAACTCTGCTTAAATGGGAAAAACACTTTGCACAGGGGCGGAGACGGTTGAGGAAACTTGGAAGCTCTGGAGACCCCGGGGCTCCTAAGAGCCCAGTTTGAGAACTTGTGATTTAACCTATGCACAGAACTGGTCTTTTTCTAGAGGTGACAGTAGCTCCTAGTAATCCTTTATTTTGGTTACACCCTTTGCTGGATCTACCTATTCATGTACTGTAAGAAAATATAATTTTGTGGTAACTGTTATTGTACAGTATTATATACTATTGTTTCGTTCTTTTTTTTTTTTTTGCTGGGCAACGCACATGCTAGGTAGCTGGCAATTAAAAATTGTTTACCTTTTGCCCCAGTCCAAATAGAGATAACAACTAAAAGAAAAGGCTTGCCCCGCTATTAGTGCCAGATCCCAAAGACTTTGATTGTTTCGTAAGCTTACTGTACTGACATCAGTTGCCACCTCGTCAATAAATATTAAGGGAGGCACAGGCACATGCACTTCATTCTGAAGACCACCGGCAAAATGGTTTAAGGCATGTCACCACAGCACTCCTCGAACAGCCGCAGTTAACACGCCATGCAACCAGTAGAATGTTACTGAACACCAACATGTGAGCTGTCTCGAATAGCTACGGTGTGAGTGAAATGAAAATTGGAAAGAACAACGCTCGGCTTCTGCAGCCACTACCTGCCCTCAACTAGAGGTCAACAGGCGCTCACGACTCGAGATGCCCAAAGGAGGGAGACAAGCACATTGCGCTTCTATTTGCTCATCATTCTAACCATGTGAACACAGCCTGCGTGTTTCCAGTCAACAATCTTTGGTGGAGAAATATTAACGAGAGCCCGAGAAAACCCGAAGGCCAACTAATATAGGCACCTAAAACTGGCAGGCTCGCAAAATATTCCCCCAACATGAAACACGCTAGCACCTAATACATTCACCTTCACAAAGTTAAGACACCTGTCTCAGGTGGGGCATCACGTGTTCTGTACTGGGACAAGCTTCATAGATTCTTGTAGTTACAGCTTGCAGCTCCTCTTGCGCAGCCGCTTGGCCCGAGTGACACAAGTTGCGACAAGAGTCGAAAATAGCGAGTTGGAAGCATCCCGCTGCACGCGCAAACGGAGAGCCTTGGTATACTTGCGCGCCACATGACACGTCCTTCGAAGGTACCGCATTGCTCTGCAAGAGCAGCCACCATAAAGCGATAGTAAAAAAGTGGGACGGCAGTATAACGAATTAACACCCCTTGAAAAGATGCCAGTTCCCCTTTCCCCATTTACAAACCTAACTCGCAGGACACCTTGCTAGAATGCGGGTCCATGAGATTCTGTTGGGGCGTTCCAACAAAGGCTCCAAGCGCTTTGTCAAAAGGGCTTGGACTTCAATCTGACTGGATGCGGAAGGCGCCGCTGCGTTCCACTTCGTTGCACGGTTGCACCAAAGGACACCGGGCCACGAACGAAACTTGGAGAAATCCCAAGGCAGCTCGGACACCAACTCCCGTCGTGAGCCGAGTTCACGACAGTGAGGCATTTGGTAAAACCTAGATGCCTTTCGCAAAACTCCACCTCGAGACCATGCGGAGCGCAAATTCGTCTGCTTCTTGTACAGGGGTTGCGATGTCAGAACGCCGACGCCGAGCTTTTATTGGCTGATTGAAAACAAATAGTGGGTAGGCTTCAAGGCATCTAGCATTGAAGTCTACCCACTGTCCTTCCAATCATAAGTCGGCATCGTTCGGATGTTGCCGCAACTCCTGCATAAGAAGCAGAGGACTTGCTCCTCGCATACCCCGGTGTTCAAACCTTTGGGGACACTTGACCGAAGGCTCGGGGTGTGGCAGAGGAGGGGGATGGCAGCCGTGCGTGTTAGGGCGGGCGTGCCTAGACGGGAGCCTACCTACTGAGTGACAGCCCCACCGAGCCGCTGCTGCGGCGACTAAACACGGGCGAGCAGTCTCCGGCGGCCATCTTGTGCGGCCCCAGGCCATGGCGGCGCAGCAGGCTGTCCACGTCCATGTCCTGATCGCTGTCCGACTCGCTGCAACCGGAAAGGGACAACGTTGCGTACGTGACAAGTGTTATTAGTGCATTTTAAAACTCTTAAGCACGGCCCATTCTATCGACAATTTTAGTGGCTCTTAGTGTACGAAAAAGTGTCTATACGACAAGAGGTTCGGTCACATGTGGTTCGTGGCATCGGGAGTACCTTGTCGGGTACCAAAAAAAGAAAGCTGTGGAAGGGTCCTGTGTCGCAGAAGAAGACATTGCCAGTGCTTTGTCTGATGTCGTGGGTAGTGCAAGCACGAGCGCACGTAACATAACATGCAACCCTATTGCCTCGGCTTAAAACCAGCGGCACCACCCATTCCGTCTATCACGACACAAATGCCAAAGCATCTATAAAATGGAGACCCAGACAGGATCGGCTTCAAGCTTCTGCCATCCAAGTAAATGCTTAACGTTCTCCGCAACTTGAGACATAGCAATAATGCGCCGTAATTATTTTTGAAGCAAAAACTAAAAAAATAAAACCCAAAATTTAAAGTTTTCTTTTTTTTTTTTAGCTTGGTCAAATAATTGCGGGAGTTGTTTCCTGTCACGTCTGGAGTAAAGAACTAAAAACAAGGTTTGCCTGCGTGCACTAGTTGCTTTTTAAAATAATTGTCAAACAACTGAAGTTTTGGACGCCTCCCAACCGCTCTCAACTCTTACGCCATCTTCAGAATCACGTGCACAGTGACGTGTAGTATCCGGTTGGGTTCTCTTTCAAAGCTTCCAGCGCACGCTTGCGATTCACATGGCGGCCTTGAAGGTTGGCCTGAGCAATGTGGAGAGAGAAGGGGGGAGGGGGGGGGGGGGGAAACGCTTGCCTTGCTGTAAGGAAGTCGGACTGACCTGCTACAAATAGCGACGGGGTGAGACGAGAGAGAGGAATGGTTTTGGTCACCTCAGGCAGATGGCGCCACTAAAACTGAATATAGTACAATCTTGAACCCTCCCTCGATTCAAACCTTCAGGGCGAATCGAACCCTGTCAGGAATGATGACATCTAAAGATTGAGCCTTGTAAGTTAATTCCACAACATCCTAGTATGCATATCAAGCTCCAGAAAAGAGTGACTTCATTAGAAAATGCGATAAAAAGAAATAATTGCAATCCACAAAATGTTTGTTTTAATGTGAAGTAGAATAGCCATAGTGCAATTTAAGACGACAGTTAATTGTAGAGAATGCAATAGACCTTTTGCTATAATACCCAAGCATCAATGAGAATGCAGGGATTGCTGTTCCGTGCACCGCACGTGCTGGCCTCAGCAGTAGTAAACTTTCTAAAGCAAATACCTAAAACAAATGGCATATTGCACGCGTGTTCGTCAACGCTTTATTTTGGTTATTTACTTGGAATATTTTGTGCAGGGAAGGCATGCGCGTGTGGCGCGTGGAACACCAATCCCTGCACTCTCCTTGATGCTTGGGTAATAAAGCAAATGGTCTATTCTAAAAAAAAAAAAAAAAGTAACACTCAAAAAAAAAAAAAAAAACTTTCAGCCTTTCCACTCTAGTGAAGAAGGAAGACCAGCGAAGCTGTACGCTTGTCTCGTGTGTTTCTTCTTTGTCCTCGTCTGTTTTGCGCACTGTTTCCTACGATGAATTCCCACCAACTCGCCCAACTATGCATTCTTCTATGGTAGCTGGAAAGGCTGCCGCCATCTATGAGCGACGACGGCAACCAGACTGGTTGTCTGGTTGCCGCCGTTGCTCATAGATTGTTTTGGGCAGTTTTGTGTCGACATTTGTTTGGTACCGGACACGAAACTGGGTAAACTAGCCCTTAACAGCTCCACTGTAAAAAAACAAAATCTGTGCATCTTAATATATTGTTTCATCATGAAGGAGCTGGCTTTTTCAGACTATGAGTATACTCTGAGTCCAGGACACAAGTGAATGAAGTCTTTACACTTTCAAAATGTCAAGTAATACATTTCCTTGTACCACATTTCCTATTAAGAAATCAGACAGAAAAATGCATTTGAAGTATCAACTTTCAGTTTCTGTATGTTCAATGAGTCCCAGGTACACAAAAGTTCACCTGGAGCATAGTAGCACCTTCCCTTTTGAGACTTAGTTGTTCCCCTGGCAATGGCTACCAGCTTGCATCATTTGTAGGTGAACTAGCTTTGGTAGCAGGCGTTCCTTGACAGATAAACTGCCGAGAACTAAAAGGTAAAATATACTAAGGGAAAGCAACTAAATAGCTATATGATCTGAAGTGGAAAATACTGTCAAAAGGCTGCTTCTAAAGATAACACAATATCACGTCACTGGGCAGGACCAATTGTAAGCCCCGTTTTGGGTCTCAACCAACAAGACTGCTTATACCATACTGTACATACTATTTTTCCTGTTTGCATGTATAGGGTTTACTAATACTCTTAACTTGAAGAAACTACTATGGGCTAAGTCTGGAGTAAATGGCACTTTTAATGAAGTTGAGATGTTCTGGCTATGTTAAACGAGCATGTAACAATAAAAAATATAAAAATTTGCTACCCGCTGACTCAGAGCTGTCAGCACGCGAGAAAACAAACTTTTGCGAGATAAATTTTGCATGTTTATAAATGGAAGTTTCTGGAGCCATTTTTAGGAATTCAATAAACCAGAACATAACATTCTTGAAAAAAAAATGAAGCTATTCTTCTGAAAAATTGTAATTCCGAGGTCACATTCCCCTTAAGACTATTACTCTCTTAGGTGGCAGTCCCACCTACGTGTGGGGCAAGAGCGCCCTCTGGGCCCACCTGTCATCGTCAGCCAGGTCTGTGCCGGAGTCTAGGTCCTCCTCGAGGGCCGCCTGCAGGTCCTGGATCCTCTGGCAGGCCAGCTTCAGGTCCTGCTTGGTGCCCTGCAGGTCTGTCTCCGCATTCTCCAGGGACAGCTCCTGCACGGACACCATGACACCATGACGAAATTCAAGGACCACTGGCAACTTGGGTATTCTAAAGGCTCGTTTATGCTTTGATGAGACGTGTGGCGACGTCTTGTCGGCCAAAACCAGACCCTCTAGTCCGGCACCTCGACGCGACTTACGCGACCGGCAGCGCTTTGCACGCTCTAACTGCACCAACGCGGAGGTAGCAAAAGCTCCATCTTTATGCCGTCTGCGTTGGGCCAGTGCGGAGATCAGTGAAGAACACCATGGTGACGCGGGCGCAGCATCGACTAACACACCAGACGACACTGCGCACCAACACTCCGGAATATAAACAAAGTCTCGGGACGACAGTCTTTCGTACTCTCTGTAGCCAATTCAGACGTCTCAATCGACCGACACATTCCCAGCAGGCTTGAGCGACAACCGGGCCACCCTGCAGCCTGGAGCATCAATCGCTTCGCCGGTCTGGCACCGTCCTCGTGCCTCACCAGTTCATGGCACCGCTGGTGTGCCTCAGCCTCGCGCTGCTGCAGGCTAGCGCAGTCCTCCCGGAGCTCCCTCAGCTGGCGCTGCAGCTTGCGGCAGCCTTCCTGGCTCGCATGCTCCCGCTGGGCAGCCTGCTCACACTCCTCCTGCAGCCGGCCGCTCTGCTCCTTCAGCCGTGCCACCTGGCTCTGCAAAGACGGTGGAACAGCGTCGAACCAACATACTCCAACGAGCGTCCCCGACATAATGCTCCTCTATACCGAAAGCAACGCGAACCATCATGCTCGGCTTTCCTCCTTGCCAGCGCTCTCAGCCTCAAATATTTATTTTTCCCCTTCCGGCAGACGATGCCACTTTTGAGCGTGCCAGGATGGAAAAAAGACAAGTGCCGTGACGATTTCCGGCCAAGACTAGTGCACTCACTGGTTGAAGTCGAGCCTACGCCAAATGCAGACGCAGCATCCCAAGCAGCACGGATTTTGGCCAAGCAATGGCCAATGTCTGGCGATGGTCTTTTAGCCAGTGGCCAGAGTGGCCATTCATTGGCCAATGCTTGGCTGATGGCCAGTGGCCATTGGCCAATGGCCAGATAAAGGCCAGTCACCGGCCAGTCTCTGCCCACTGTCTGACCACTTGGCCAAGGACCATTGCCAGCCATTGGCCGATGACTGGCCAACTCTGTTCTGCTTGGGATGTGCGTCCTATCTCATGACCCGCGTTTGACTCTTCAAACAACATAAAAATTTCACCCTGCCCCCCCCCTCCCCACCCCTTGTTGTCTAGGATGTGTTAGTCACACTCAGAAGTGGTGCCGTCTGCTGGGAGGGCAAAGCAGGAGAGAAGGGTCTCCTCCCATGGAGGAGGAACCAGAACGTGGAGAGGAAGTCTGCATCACTTTCCCATATGCAAGAGCTTTACCCCGCTGGTCTGTGACTCACCTCCAGCCTGGCCTTGGAGGTCTGCTCCAGCTCCAGCCTTGACTCCAGATCGCGAACCTTCGCCTCCAGCCTGCGCACCGCATGCGAATCCTCTGCCTGGCTGCTCAGGTGGTCCATCTTGGAGCTAAGGTCGTGGACCTGCGAGGGCAAAGTGTCGACTTAGAGACGCCATGCCTTGTCCACGTCCGTCGCAGTCGCTCGTGTCAGTTCTCGAAAGGAATTGCGAGACTGCAAGGTCTTACCTGCGCCTCCCAAAGTCGTGACTTCGATTAAGCACCATTTACACACTCCGTGCAAATGTCATATTAGGTGCCAATAGGACACGGCAAGGTACCGTGGCAGATCTCCACTGATGGAGGCGCACCCACGACTGGTTGGGGAGCACGCCACATTAACCATGCTTTATAAATTGGGAACCTTCTTAGGGCGCTTTCGGCGTGCCTTTTGCTGAAGGAAAAGCACGGAGAGCAACGCGACCGTTCTTAGGCCTACCCACTTTCGCGATTTCACCGTCCGAAAGTGGACCACAGACGACGGCGTGTTTGTTGGCATCAATGGCGAAGAATGTCCGGGGCTGGGCAATTCCTGGACCCAAGCGTTCTCAGGTGTGCACGTCACTCAGTTTCACAGTTGATCACTTCCGCAACTACGCACTTGCAGCCGCTTGTAGCCATTACGAGAGCGGCTTGGCTTGGATTGATTTGGTCCGACCGCTTGGCGGCAAAAGAAAATTGGCTTGGTGGCTAGCTAAATTCGACCCAATTTGAAACTCTCAGAGCCCGAAATTGGAATTGCGTTCATTACGCGAGAGAAAAAAAAAGTAAAAATATTGACCCGTTTGGGGGGTTGCGTTTATTATGCGAGTGCATTATGCAAGTCAATATGGTACTGTATTTATAAATATTGAAATTGCAAAGGGAGACTGCAACGAAAGATTACGGGCCAAAGGATCTTACTGAAACGAAAACTTGAGCTTTGTGAATGCTCAGTTTCTTTTTGCAGAACAAGGATATCGAGGATAAGGCTCGTTCCATGCTTACCAGCCGTCAAGCGGTTATTTTGAGAACTAGTTAGGTTTACCCCTCCCCCCTGAGGATCTCTGCTCTACTGCGTCGGGACACTGAGGCCAGATTAGTTAAAGGCTAGGGGCCACAGAAAGAGCAACTTGTTGGAGGGACAGTCCTGTCACTGGAAGTAGAGGGGGGGGGCTTGTGGAGTGGGCCCCAGAACCAGCTTACCTGTTCCCTGAGGTGGTGCTTCTCGGACTCCAGGTCCAGGATCTGCTGGTTCTGCTCGGCCATCGCCTTCTGGTCACTGGCCATCTGCACACGCGAAGTGGACCTTACACATCCGCCAGATGATCCATCTCTCAAAAGCAACATCCACCGGCAGAGTGTGTTCTTTGCTGCCCATCACCTTCTCATCGCGCGAGAGTAATCTAGGTAGATCCGGAGAATTCCGAGGCATATTTAACAGCAGGCATGAGGCACCAAAGCTTCGAAAACGCTACTTCTTAGGCCACGAGGATGCCGATGCATAGAGCACGCTCACCGTGGCTTGTTGGAAGCAGAGAAAATGGCGGAAAAACTTGTTTTCTCATAGGCAAGTGCTGTCAAAAAGAATGAGTGTGGTTTGACTGTTGTCCATCAAAAACAAGGTATAGCTTTATTCAAATTTTTATCTTGAACCCTACTCAAAAGGTGCTTGAAAAGAGATGGTGTAAGATAATAGATTCACGCCGTCTTAGTACGCATTACTCGGATGAGCCGTCCTACAATGGGCTATCCCAATGGTGCTCGCCCTGGCTACGCAGCCCGGAGTGCATCTCTCACTGGTGCGTTTGGTGTCTTACACCGTCCTTGCATCCACAGCGATCTCAACATAGCAACAAATAGGTCGTGCAAGTCGGCGGCTCGTGCCATCAGTCGTTGCAATCCTGGCCGCCAATCGTGGAGGGGCAGACGACGAAGAAGGCAAACTGGTGAACGCACATGTTGCGTTCACCTCCCCCGCCGTGCCACCACCAGAATCGTGGCAAGCGACAGCACAAGACAGTTGCGATGTGGCAAGGCGAAGATCAAGACACCCCAAAAAAATGGGACTAAGCACGCCAGTCAGGGGCGCACTCCAAGCACCGTGCCCGAACCAAGCCCGCCGCACAGAGAAGGTTTGCCCACCTGCTGCACCGCAGACCGGTACTTCTTGAGCAGCTCGGCCTGCTCCTCTTCCATCTCCTCGAGCTGCATCTGCAGGGCGCTCTTCTCGCGCGTCAGCTGGATGCAGCGCCCCTCCGACTGCAAGAACAACGGAGGTTGGCCGTGGTCCTCTGACACACCACTTACTGGTTTGTAAACTTGGGCGGTCTGCGCTCTAGTAAAGTTTGTCACCCCAAGTAGCGTTGATTCATAAAAATGTTTTTAAAAATTGTTTTAACATTTTTAAAAGGAAACTGAAGTGGTTCTGTGAATGAGGAAAAAACGCGTAAATCGTCTTCATTTAGCCTCCAGGATCGCGAATGCCGAGATAATTTTTCAATTTGGTGCACAGAGGCTGGAGAAAAGCATTTTCAAAGTACCGCGATATGGCATCACGTTCCTTCCCAGAACGGGACGCCATAGCCAGAGTATATCCGCGCATCTTCAGTGCCCATCAAAGCTTTAAATGTGCACTCTCGCTATTTTCAGAAAGGTCAGGAAAAGACGTCACGACTGGTGTCAGTGCGGGGGAATATGCCAAGCTTGCAACTGCATGCGCTGCCCACACGACTGACACGCGCTTGGCGGCCAAAAGATCTGGGTATGACGTAACTGGTCGAAGATTTTTCTTGTTTTCTCGCGTTTAGTTACGTCTTCGAGGAAAACAAATCTGATATTCATAATCACGGGATGAAAATGCTCTAGAATTTACCTCTAACTCATTTTCCCTTCAAGAACCTCTTCAGGTTCTCTTTAAAGCAGATGTAGCACCCTCCAAGTGATGTTTCAGTTATACCAATATATTAAGTCTCAAGTGCACAAGCGTTTTCAACTGCACATCTTTTTGACGGGTCCGTAGGATTTTAAGAAGGAGTAGATGCATCCCTGGACTTTCCCTACGGCAGCTCCTCCGAACCCATGTCCATCCGTTGTGTTCTCCGAGCGATCCAATAGGCCGACTCATAATATCGACAGTGCGCTTGTGGTGCTTTAATTTGTCCCTAGAGAAAACTTTTCCGTAGCATGACAAAAAGGTTCCAGACCAAATAACCTAAGGACTGTGGTTCGGCCGAGCGAGACCATTGTGAAAACTTCGAGCTGACGAAGCTCACCTCATTCTTGGTGCGCAGCACTTCCTCCAGCTGGCACTGCACTTCCTGCAGCTCCATCTCCGCCCCCTGCCGTGCCTTCATGGCCGCCGTTTTGGCAAACTCTGCGTCTTCCAGCTGCACACATGCCGCTGCCATTAGTGGGGCCATTGCTTTTGCAAAGTCGACCACCCGAGTTAACTCTGCATTCTCAACTCTCGGTTTTTCAAGATCGCAACATATCGAACACATGCCTCCACCAGATACATGTGGTTACGAGGTTTACACTAGCCTAAAAGGCCTTTTCAAATCTTAGCTGCCACAGTATCTCCACACTTTTCCCCGTGCCACGTCTCGCCACAAGTGGTCACCACCACGGTCCGACCTCACTGGGAGTCTACGATAACTAATTGTTCCGAGGATTCTGAAGTTCACTCAGTTTGCGATTGGACGTGGTACGCTAGTCTTGCCTCCTGACAATACTCCAGTGAAGGTCTAGCTGAAGCACAAAGTTTGCGATGCACTTCACCCTCAAACTTCTTCTTCCTCTAAGCTCAAAATTTTGTGTCCGTCCATACTAAATATAACAATACCACTTCCCAAACACAACTCAAATAAACGAAGCCATAAAACTTGTAAAATGCCAGCTAGGCTCCACGAGTTATCCCATTGCCATAGTGGTTTCCGGGACCAAGATGGAGATTACCATTACTGTCTCGGCAGTAATGCGTCTAACATCGTCACTAGTGTCTTTACCTGGGAAGCCGACGTTACTGGATCAGCTCAGCTGGCGAAGTATTCTTAGGTGCTACTTCCCCGAAAAGAGTCCCCCACAACCTCCTTGACTCGACACCTATCGTGCGAAGCGGTTGCGTTCCGAACTCCCGAGAACTGCCACTGTGAAGACGAGCTACAGCGCGCAAAAACAATGATGCTTTGAACGACAGGTGTCGAGCTGCAACATAACGAGGGTGTTCGCTCGTCCGCGGGGGTGCTCCAACCGAGTTGACTCGGTAGTGCACTATATAGCTCCTTCGGAGCACAGTAGCGCAATCTAGAATGCCATCTCTCGGTGACTAGCAGCGACCGCCCGGGGGTTCCAACTCCGGTCACAAATGCCTGGGGAACGTGAGAAAATCGCTCTTCATTGATTATTTTGGGGATGTACAGAACGACAATAGTTTTTGACATAATAAAGAAACGGTTTACAATACTAATTTGAGCTAAGTTTTGTGCCATGTAATAACATAATTCTTTTTTAAAAATTGCCGGAGCGTCATCATGCAGCAGACGACGCGGCAAGTCACACTGTTCACGTGACCCGCTCCGGCCAATCCATAAAGTCCATCTCCGCTGCGTAAAACAATTGTCTGCTTGAAACGCCATTGCCTTGGGAATTTCCTTCTCAAACTTTTCACACACATCCAATATTATTAAAACTTTGATAAACTGTTTAATGTTTTACCAACTTCACGAAAGACTAGTTTCAAGAAGTGTCAACTCGGCGTCCATTTTCTTAATCAGCCGTGTTGCATTGATCTCTATGTATTCTCCCATAGGGCGGGCCGCCTCCTGGAACCCTGAGTACCACGTGACTCGCGGCAAGCTGCTCTGTTGGCCATGTTGTCGGTGAAACACGCGGATCAAAGGATTGCGTTACTCTGCTCCGTAGGAGCTATATAGTGCTCTCGGCACTGGCGGCCAAAGCTGCAATATACGGTGCCTCCAACGACCGCAGGCGGCAGACGGCAGAACGGTGCCGCATCGCACCTGGTTCTTGAGCTGCCTGAGCAAGGCCCTGGCCGCCTGTCCGTCCCGGGCCCCCTCCAGCCGCTGCTGGGCGTCCTGCAGCAGGGCTCTGGTGCGCCTGAGGTCCCTGCGCAGCCGCCGCTCCACCTGGGGGTCCCTGGGAGGGGGCAGGGCGCTCAGCTCCCCCAGGCGCCGCTCCAGCTCCTGGCGCTGCCTCGACAGGGCCTGCCGCTCCTCCTGCTCGGACTCCAGCAGAGACTCCAGGTTGCGCAGCTGCACGAGGGAAGAGAGGACGCGCACGTGAGGCACACGCACGCGAGGCGGCTGTACGGGGGTGGCGTGGGGCAACGCACCTTCTTGCTGGCGGCGGCGCGTGCCTCGTCCATCTCTTCTTCCCTGAGGGAGATCTCCCGCTTGTACTCCTGGCGCTGCTTCTCCAGGGCCATCTCCAGCCGCAGCTTGGCCTGCTCCAGCAGCTGCACCTGGCCAGCCAGGTCCTCCAGCTCCTCCTCCTGCTCCCGGGACTTCCGCTCCAGCTCCTGCTTGCCACGCTTCAGCTTGGCCACCTGTGTCCACAGAGCGAGAGCCAATCTGTAGCCTCGTTCGCTGCCTTCACTTTTTTGCAGGCGTGGCCGAGTTGGCAACAGAGGCGCCAGCAAAACGAAGGAACAAGGTTCGAACCCCGCTCAGTCTGGTTCCTTTTTTTTATCCATCTTTGCTCTTCTGAAAAGTTCCAGCCTATTCTCAGCTGTCGTTAGGCTCGTTCGATTTACCTGTGCCTCCTGCACCGGTGCAGAAACGTGCAGGGCAGTGTACTTCCGGTATGTGTAGTGAGATATGACCGGAATACACTGCCCTAAGCTTTTCTGCACCAGTGCAGGAGGTGCAGGTAAATTGAAAGAGCCTGTTGTGTGTTCTAGTTCAGAATATTCCTTTATACACTGTACATATAGAAACAGTAGTAGTGTGCAGCTAAGTTTTTTTTTTTTCTTATATGTGACAATATTGACAATAGCAAACAGGTTTACTGGCCGTTATTTGTGAATTTTGTGGGTTTTACTTGCCAAACCAACCAAGGCCATCTGGCACACCCCAGGGGCGGACTGACGTGCAAGCAGAAGCTTGGTTACGCAGTGCCTTCTCCGCAATGAACCTCCGTCAGACACTGAGCAGCTAACTGGGAAATCGTAGGCTGGAGCCTTATGTAAAAGTCACCGGCAACCTCGGCTGTTGTTTGCAATGAAATAAATATAATTTTGTTTTTGCCAATATGCTGTTGCCTTCATTATTCTGTAAGGTATTGAAACGCGTTTCGAATGCTGACCTCCTATTATCACAAAAAAACAGCTCTGCACAAGCAATACTTATGTTAGGTTTTGCGAGTGGCTCTAAGTCGGGGAAAAACTCGGCGTGTTGACCCTTTTTTTACTACGCGGATTTGTTAGACTCTGGCACAGGTCACAAAACCCCAGCCATCAGACAAAAATCGCCAAACTTTTGCCACAAAAGTTTGTCATTTTCTTCTGTCAGCTGAGCTTTTATGACCTGCACCAAAGAGTAACGTCGTTTGCAGCAAAAAGATAAATATGGTTTTGGCACCTGCGTCTCACAGTGTCAACAGGAAGTGTAAAGACAGCCATAAACACGAATGACATCAAGGACACCATTCAACAGAGCTATACGCCTCGCAAGTGGGTTCATTTTCGTCTTCTGCGCATGAGGAAGGAAGTAGCGGTGACGTCAGAACGCCGAGCCCTGATTGGCTGATCGCGACCCCCTATCTCAGCGTCGTCTGCTCCTTTGCAACGTCGTCTGCTCGCAACGTCGTCTGTGTCTGTCTTACCTTTCCTGCGACTTTCGGAAGTGCAGGTCTTTACGAGCGAGCTCGACTTGGCCTTTCAGAGAGGGCAGACGAAATAACTCGAGCGGTACGTTGTTTTTGTCTAACAACTAGCAGACACGCATCAAGGAGGAAAGTCAAAGGACTCACTGGCGAGGTGCCCCGAGGCGCCGAGGTTTGTTTGCTAAGAACCGAGAGTGAGCGTGTTAGTGTCTGCAAGTTCCCTCCCAAATACTTTTTCCCTCCTTTCGTGCGCGGCGGGACCCCTCATTCTTTAACGGCGTCGGCGGGTTGGCTCAGTTAACGTCGTCTGCTTTACGTCTGCTAGTCAAAGCGATGGCTGTTTTACCTTTCCTGCGTCTGTCGGAGATTCGCCGCTTTTTCACCAGCGAGAGTCACCGTTGCCTCGGGAAACAAGGAGATAACAACAGGAATAAATTGAACTCTTAATCTAAAATTGAGGTCAGCAATCAAAGTATAATACGGGAAGGGTTCACAAGGGTCGCGCGGGCATATTCCATTCAGCACGCCAGCCGGTCGAGGGAAGACGGTCGCCGAGTCGCGGAGTGCCTGCTAGGCCTAACTGCCGTGCTCGCTTGGTCGCGTTTGGTGGAATCGTGGCCGTTGGAGCTTTCCCGAGTGTTTGTGGATCCAGCGTTCTTGTTCGTCGTGGTCTGTTTCAAGTACTTTTTACATTTTTCTTGCTGCTTCAAGTCGGGACGCGTGAGAAGCGCACGTAGAAAATTAAACGTCCGTGGGTCGTCGCGACCGCGACGCTGTCGGCCATACTGATTTGATCGTAAGAAGTGCGTAAGACAGGTTCGGAGCTGTCTTAGGATTTCGTCGTAACCTGCGCAAAACTTACGAAAATTTCTTAAGTTTTGTCTTATGCACATTTTTGGCGTGAGATCGTTTCGTGAATCTGGCCTCTGCACTTTCGAAAGTCGCAGGAAAGGTAAGAGAGACGCAGACGACGTTGCGAGCAGACGACGTTGCAAAGGAGCAGACGACGCTCAGATAGGGGGTCGCGATCAGCCAATCAGGGCTCGGCGTTCTGACGTCACCGCTACCCCCTGCGCAAGAAGCAGATGAACTTGCCCTCCGCATTACAAACATGATACAGTTAAACCTCGATGTAACGAAGTCGGTAAAATTCGCAATTTACTTCGTTACATTGAAATTTCGCTAAATCAAAATTTGGCTTTAGCATGCGAAAAAAAAATTCTGAAACATTTTACGGGTATGAAAACTCACCGAAAATGGCATTTATTTAGGGGCAAAGTAGTTCGCGAGTTTTGCTTGCACCTTGTCCGACAGTAGCAGCGGCATCATACGGCGTTCGAGCGCCCAGAGCGCTTGCACAACATCTTGCTGCCCATGCGACGCCGTGTACCTCCTCAGTACGTCCATTGCGTCGAGCACTTCCCGAGTGCTCGTGATCTCGGCAGTTTCTTCAGGATGGCGTCCAAAACGTTTGCTTTCTCATCCAAAGAAAGAACTTTACGTTTCCTTATGGCAGCAAGCACGTGAGTGAACCGCCCGGTTAAAAAATAAAGCTGTTTAGTTTAGGCGGTGCCAATGTTTCCAACCTACACAGCACTCTTGACCGCACAGTTTACTTGCCCCCTTGCGCCCACAGTGTGCTTGCGCCTTTGCTTTACATCACGCTTGCAAGACGATAATCGGTCTTCTCGGTCTTCTCCTAGATGGCACTGCCCGTGCAGTCGCGCGGTCGCGCCATCACGTCGCTCCCCCGCTGAAGTTGGCTCCCGCGGTACAGTGGACTATGATGATCAGTGAATGTCAGTGGTGATGCTGTTATGCCGTGTTAACTTTTTGCTCGGCATTTTCTGGCCACTCCCGCGGAATCCGCTTTGCCGCATGCCTCGCCGGCGCTACCGGCGCCGCATCCTCGGGCAGCCTAGGAACGTTGGAAGGCCTGTCCCCGTGAAGTAACCTATCAAGCGCTCGCGTTTGCGCATAATTTTTTTTTTAACCACAATTTTTTTGCGAAGTTGTTTTTTAGAGTTGATTTATTTATTGCCTTCTATGACAATGGCGCTTCGTTATATTGAAATAGCAGAAAAATAGACTTCGTTATATTGAGACTAAAAATACATGGGGTCTAGGGGCAAGAAATTGTGAAAAATAAAATACTTCGTTAAATCGAGGATTTCGTTACATTGAAGTTCGTTATATCGAGGTTCGACTGTATTGGGGCACATTCATTTTTCCCTTGCTACATCTGCATCAAACACCAAAGTTTACTGTCCAAATTGGTGCCTCATTAAGGGAAGCTGAAGCAGTTTTGTATTTGAGGAAACACACTTAAATCGTCTTCACTTGACCTCCAGGATTTTGAATATTGAAAATATTTTTTACTTTAGTGCATGGACGCTGCAGAGAATCATTCTCAAAAGCACTGCTGAAGGCCCTCCTTCCCGGAACATGACGTCACAAAAGTTTTCGGAGTCTCTGCCCTCACGCATCTTCAATGCTTATCAGAGCTATGGACCTGCACTCTTGCTATTTTTGAAAAGGGCAGAAAAAGACGTCATGACTGGTGCCAGTCCAGGGGAATATACCTGGCAAGCTTGCAATTGCACGTGCGGCCCTCGAGCAACATGCGCTTGGCAACTAAAAGGTCCTCTTATGGCGTCACGACTGGTCGGAGTTTTTTTTTTTTTTAGTTTTCTGGCGTTTAGTTACATCTTCGGGGAAAACCGAAGTGATAGTCAGATTCACGGGAGAAAACTATGCAGGGATCAACCTCTTACTATTGAGACCGGTTATAACAAAGTCAATGAAAATCGGAAATCACTTCGCTATATCCGCCATTTTGTTACAACCTACTTCGGTTAACGAAGTGCAAAAGGGAATGGGAAATCGTGATCGCTTCGTTATAGTCGCTATTTCGTTATAACCGACTTCATTATAAACGGTTTCGACAGTATCTAATTTTTTTAAAAAGTGTCTCAGGTTTCCTTTAGGCCCACTTATGTCAAGCTCTCAAAGTCTGAAGAGTATTTAGACTTGTTGTTCGTTCCTGCTTTACAGTTAACATGTCAGTTAATTTCGGTACCCGAGTGCTATATGAAAAGTAGAGACCTGAACACTTTGTACGCATTTTTCCTCTTTCTATTTTTCCAATACAAACTATTTTAGTGAATCTGTTTCATATTAGGACTAAAAAAGGCTCACACTCCGTTTTTCCTGAGTGAAATTTAAAGAGGAATGCACCTGTGAAACGTGTCAATGAAACAGACACACATTGTTTACAGTTGTATAGTACATAGGCACATGCGCCAATGCACGACAGAAGATGGCCGTACCTCCTCCTCTCCGTGGCTGCTGAAGCTGAGCTCGTCCATCTCCCTGCGCAGGCTGCCGAGTTTGTCGTGCTGAGAGTCCAGCTCCGAGCGCACGGCCGACAGCTCCTGCTCCAGGGACAGCTTCTCCGCGTACAGCGCTTCCTTCTCACGCTGCACCTTCTCCCGCTGCGCCCGCTCCTGCCTCATGCCCTCCGACGCAGTGCTCAGCTCTCCATCAAACCTGGTTGGGTCACACCCATTAGTGAGCACTTTGGAATTCACTCGCTCAGTGCCACATAAACAATTCCGAGGCGCATCATATTCATTATCGTTGACAGCACGAAAGCACACTGACACCTAAAAGTCACGGCCCTTCGCTGCCACACCATAAATTAGTAGCTCGTGACACCAAGCAGTTCAGTTTCATTAAAATTCATCATCACTATATCACCTCAGATTCCAAGTTCACACAGTCATTAACCAATAAGCTCATCGAGTTCATGACGTCACTGCGACATTGTGAATTCATTGCAGTCCATGAAGTCAGTCAGTCATTCAAGATCTTGCACGGAGGCGCTTCAAGAGAGGTCACACTTTGGAAGCCGAGCTATTGGAACTGACTCATTTCTTTATCGAAGAAGTAGGCATGGTTTTTTTTATTGGCATTCAAGCTATTCGAGTGTGGACCTACAGCACAGCCATTTACGAACGCGCCTTTGAATGCCGGTACTGAGCATACAAGGCCGAAATTAATCGTGCACTGTCTAATATCCATGAAAAGAAAGCCTTTGTCGCAATCGGCTATGCAGCAGATTTGTGCCTTAAAAAGTGAGAATGCCAGTAATACTTGTGTGTCCACCCCTTCAATATTAATACGAGTCAATTCCCGAAGGTGCGTTTCCTGAGGCACAACAACAGCGCTCGAAGCACCTCAAGCGGGATTCCCTCCCCACTGGCAGGCACTCCATTGCAGTAGCTCGTACACCCAGGAACTGCATTATTTATTTATTTACTTTTTGATACCTACATTGCCCGACAGAAATATTGTAGGGGGTAGATAATATGCAAGAATTTTTTTTTTATTACACCACACATAAAAATACAAATATTGCATAAAAGAAAAAATCGCATGTCCCACAAAGATTGCGTACGAAAATAATAAATGCATGAAGAATAGGATACACAAAAACTGAGGAAAGAAAGTTGAGCAATGCCCATTGACGACGACAGGAAATTTCCCGAGCAGTGCACTTCGTGCACGTTGCCTGGCAAGAATGCGAGAAACGACCCACGCCGAGCCGCTTGTCCGGCGAGCACTTCGGCCAACCGAGGAGGCGAGGGCTAACTCACCTGCGCTGCTTGCGCTCCAGCTCGGCGTTCCTGGCCATGTGCTCCTCGACGAGCAGCTTGAGGTCCTGCAGCTCGGCGGCCAGCTTCTGGGCCTTGCGTTTCCACTGGCCGACCGCCTGGCGTCCTTCCTCCAGGCTGTCCAGGGCCTCCGTCAGCTGGAGCCCCCACAAAACTAGGCTACAGTCCCCGACAGGCAACCTTGCACTGGAGGCGGGACAACTGAACAACCTTCCTGCCATTCTTGCCCCGAGAGCTACCACAGAGCATGCAGCTCGTCGGCATACATTGCATCCAAAACCCCTTCAACATGATTATAGGCCTCAAATTGGGGAAAGCATATTACGACGGCAATGTAAACCTTGCCACACTGCGACTTGCAAGCGTGAAGGTGCGTGAGAACAGCCGCAAACAAATCGCAGAGCGTCGGTTTGCAGAAATCAAAGCTACGCATTTAGATTGCTCTCGGCACTTTCGCGGTTTGATATTCCGACGTGCGAGCCAATGTATTGCTTTACCACTTAACGGCGAGAAATGCCGAGGACGGCAATAATCGACTTGCCCGGCAGAAAGGAGACTACGGATACTTGTAGTATTTCAATCAAGCGGTACAGATGTTGCTACCGGCTCCTATACCTATGCTGCTCCGAGACTCGCCACTCGAATTCGTCGAGTTAGCGGGTCTCGCCACTCGTCAAAGCATTTCATCCTTTGACCCCATCCAGATTCCTGTCAGACAGATGCCAGCTAGTGCGCACTAGGCTATCCCTTTAGCCAACCATGACCTGCCCAGACCGGGTGAAACACCGTGTGCCGATGGTTCAAGTGTGCCCAAGAGGGAGACGGCCTCCTTACCCTCTTCTCAGTCGCCTTCCGTGCAAGCAGCTGCTTCTCCAGCTCCTCCTCGTGCTGCTGGCTGGCCTTGCGCCGAGTCATCTCCGCCTCACGCACCGCTCGCTCATACTTCTGCTTGTACACAGACGAGCCTGCGTGCAAGGGGTAGCTTATAACCGGGGTACCGTGTTTTCGGTAAGTGTCGATGAACCCCAAAAATTAAACCCCCAGACAGGTTTATCAAAATTGGTGAAATCTGAAAAACCCCGAATTGGAGCGGTCCTTGACTAAGAAGAGCCAAAGCTACGTGGGATGAAAATTTGTTTACAGTTTCATTTTATGTTAACCCTAAATAGAACCTCCCTTTGAAATGTTTGTGAAGCTTTTTCCATACTTCGGAACCACTACCCCTATCCAATTTTCCTTTTCTTACGGCACATATATGTTTTTAAAGTATTCAGAGCATAGCTGATGTTTTCTGAAGGTAGGGAAATCCCATTACCGCATGTTATTTTCCTAAACTTAAGTTCCGATAAACACCAATTGTTTTTCTGACCCTGGACACCAAAAAAGACCGAGTCTGAGGGAAAAAATAAACCCCGAAAAAACACCCCCGATTTTGAAGAAAAATAACCCTGGAAAACACAGAACCCTACTTATAATGGAACCTTTCAGGACTCCAAGCTGCAGCTGGAGCCACCTCAGAGGAAAACACTGACACCGACGCGGGAAACGGCAGCCTTGCTTTGAGCGTTTAATAGCGATGGCAATGGGAGAAAAGTCCCTCGTCGACTCGAAAGAGACAAGCGGTCGCATTGTTGACAGTGGCAGCTTCCCTCTCAGATCGACACTGTGTTCATAATTAATACGACCTAAGCTCGAATGTGCAGGCTCAGTCTGGGCTTCTGGTAAGGAGACTTTCGTACCGGTGCAAGAAGCCATTCCAAAACATCTTGCACATTCTATGCCCGCGAACCAGCGTCGTGTGTCAAGAGTAGTTTTCACAAAATTCTAGCCAACTCAAAGAAAACTGCCTTACACTTAACCCTTTGAGTGCCGGGGCTTTTCTTTTCCTGCACGCCGAATGTAAATTTTGGTCTTGGTAACACTGAAGCATGCTTCATCAAGAACATTTATTTATAAAAGACACATTATTTTATGGGCCAAGAGTTAATTGATGTGTGCATGCTGTGGGAACCACGTTTTGCCCGTCCCCCTGTCTAGGCTTAGCACATGCAGGCCGTGGGACTGCTACGGCGGCAGCTTCCCGGACTACGCCTTCCTCGAAGAGGGCGGTGCCTCCTCGCCCTTTTGGGTAAATGTGCCTCTGGCCAGGGGCAAATCTAAGGGGGCGGCCGCCCCCCCCAAGACAAAATCGCCCCCCCCCCCTCTTCCCTTCTCAAAGGGCAATTTGACACGAGTGGACCCCCCCCCCCCCCCCCTAAAAAAAACCGACTACCGGCCTGTCAGGCGGTAGAAGGCTCGGCTTCAAAATAGGGTAGGTCGCACCCCAGCAGGCACACTTGTACTCTGAACTTGAGAACCACTCCGTCGCTTCAATTAAGACTGAAGTCCACGGCGGCTTTTTCAAAGCACGGCTTGGAGCCAATAAGTGGCGCAGCAGCGCACACATAGGGGCTGTCAGCGTAGTGCGGTTTTGCGATGGCTAAAACAAAAGGTGCAACTGGAGCCTTGTTTATGTTACTTTAGATTTTCCCGCACCCCGCACACACGCACGCACGCACGCACCCCCCCCCCATTTTCTTGCCCTCGCCGCCGCCCCGCCCCCCCCAGAACAGAGTTCTGGATCCATCCCTACCTCTGGCACACCCTCCGAAATGATTGTGGACGCGACCCATCTGCGAGCTAAGCCAGACCACTTACACCGGGTGCGTTCATTTCCCGTGGGCTAGGTAAGCCGGCCCCGGAGCGGTGGACGGCACTCTCTCGCTGGGGAAGGCTCTGGTTCTCGGGGCCTCTTTCATTTTGCAGCTTCCCCCTTCCCACGAATCTACCTAATACGGTAGCGTGGGCCCCTTGGGGTGAATCTGTCTGATACGACAGCGCCAACCTTTTTAGCCTTCATTTGGTTGGCCGAAGGGCAAAACGTGGCGGTGAGATGCCAATAAACCCGCTTCTTCGGAATCCCCGTGTTTCGAAGTGACTCCTCTCCATCGGAGCATACATCAGCCTTCGGACGGACCCAGCCATAGCCGTCCTCAACAGCGACCTACGGAGTGGAGCTACAGAGTGGAATTTACCTCGTGGCGTAGTAAGGTAAGTGGAATCCCACAATACCTACAACCTACAACATATTTCTCGCATTATACTTTTCGAGACAAGGTACCGTGCAGTGGCACCTCGACCTCACATTCTCAGATCACTCTTTTGAGTGGTTCTATTCGGCCTTTGTTTATTTGGAACTGTTAACTTCCTCGTTTTCACAGTCATCAAAGACCAGTCGAGTCTGTTAGTAATTTCTACATCTCAGTGGGTTCCATAAAGCATGAGGTTGAAGGACACAAATTTGACATTCTGTAACGACAAAGGAGCCTACCAAAACAGAGGCTGTCTAAACCCAAAAGTTTACAAGCCATGAAAAAGTGACATTACAAGATACAACATTGTTTTCATATCCCGCTCATACATGCCGCTACAAGTGAAAATAAAAACGACAGCCCAGTTGGGAGGGGCAGGGAACAAACTGAAACTGGAATCACAAAAGAAAGCACCCGATTACATGCGGGTTAAGAATGAGTCAAACGTCCGTCCAAGGCCTCAACTGAGGAACAAAAAGGGTCTTAAGAAACACAAAAAATAGTTGACTGCCAAATTTTAAAAATTTAAAGTCTTCCCAGTTCCAGAGTACCTCCTTACAAAATAAGTATGCTCAATTCAATCCCTAGCTATTCAGAAAAACAGCAAATTATAAGTGTCCAAAAGAGCCTATATTAATGATTTTCCTGGCGTCATTATTGTCCAGTGCCATTGCCTCACTACAAACGTCTTGATAACATTCTCACAGGTGAACTTCAGTGCAACTTGGCATTTTTGCTTTCCACAATAACCGAACTGTATCCTAAAGCTATTCGGCCTCTCAATAAATAAGAAAGTAATTAGTAGCTGAAAGTTGGAGTAAGCATTGTCTCAACGACCTAATTAGGCCTAATATTGTGCCATATCTTATCCAATTAAATTCATTTCCACTCTTATCTCAAACTTTAAAACCGGCATTCTAAAATATGCCTAGATCCTGAACTTCTATGAGTCATATGAAAAGAATAAAAAAAAACATTTGAGAAGCCTCTTTCCCCCTGAACAAACTTGCTTCTCCACTCAGGAGACACTCAAGTGCCCTGGACGGGTGCCAAAAAATGCTCCATAAATTTGGGAGGGGAAGGTGGGGAGGGGGGGGCTCATTTCCTCCAAGGAGACTGCCCCCTTCCACGGCCAGGAGGGCACTTGGCAGCCGCCTGGCCTCATCTCTCCCTCCCCACTCCCCCTCTGCAAGCTAAGCTGCCCATCATTTGCGTGTCTGTGGGGCAGCCAGTTGGGCAGGCTGTCAATTCCTGCCTGCCACTGACTGTGTGTCATGTGCTGGGTTTCGTTCCCCGGTCCCGTCAATAACCAGCCGATTCCCAAATGTGACACATGGCCCTCTTGTCTGGCGGTGCTCGGAATAGAATGGTGCCTCGGCTACTGCGCACCTGACCGAGAGGAAACTGCGCCTCAAGGAAATGCCCAGAGCTGCACACCCAAGTTGCAAGCGACTCGATTATTCGAGCTGTTCATAATGTTTGTGTATGAATTGCAAGCAACTTAACTCTTTCCTGACTGCGCCCATAGGCCATTGATCACCAATAATTGATGGTTTTCAAGCGCCAATAAAAATTAAACTTAATGCGGAGAATTACGTTCCACAATCGCATGGATGGCCGAAGAACTGTAGTTTCAGTTTCAACGTAGGTTTGAGCTTAATCACAAGCTGGTGTGCTGTCAAAAATAGTCCTGGGAACAATGGTTGCACTTGTCTGACAAGGCTAACTGCTTGCATCAGTCTTTGTAACGAAGATTGCATTATTTACAAAATTCAACTGTGTGGTAGCATATTTTTTAGATGTCAAGAGCTCTGGGGACATTTTAAATAGTGTTACAGGCATCACTTAATAACAGACGTTTGTCAGTAAGCATCCCTATAATTTCTGGTGCTGTCCTGAGCGTTTTATGTTCCCAACAAAGTGGACAAAAATGCTAAATATAAAGGAACTGCAATCAAGGTAATGACAAAACCAAGGCAGAATGCAAAGAAAGCATTTTGCTGGGGATGTGAGGTGTGCTACCTGTGTTTCACCAGTATAAGCATTCCTTCGTTGAAAAGCGCACGTGTTACGGAGGCTAGCTCTCGACGAATCAAAAATAGACAACATCAGTTAGGGCACACTACCTTTGCGAAGTACTAATAGCCGTGGGTGCAGGGCAGGGGCACATTTTGTATATTCTGACTTTTTTTTTAAATTTGACGTTTAATTTGATATAGCTGTAGAAGTTTCGGCATTTATATGCCTTCTGCACATACATTATATTTTTAAAAAATTATATTTTAAAATCTTTTCCATACATTATAACAACGTCCATTTCTTTTAAAAGAATGGCCACATTTCAATGTGTCATATTTCTGCATACGCAAATTAGTTAGGAAAATGAAAGTGGTTGCACGGATCTTTTGAAAATTGCTGCCTCTTCCATGGTCAGAAAATAGTTAAGGGGGGACAATACCCAGAAAAAATAAATTTCTGCAAACAGTTGATTTTGAAAAATGTCATATTTACATCCACCAGCATCTAGAGAGTATTCCCAAAAAGTTTCATTTGTTTACACTGCATAGTTAATTTTTAATAAATTATTTTCTGTTTACCAATGCTATAGAGAAGGTAGAGGTTTGAGTTTTTTTAATGCATTTTTCTCCATTCCACTTTTTGGCCTAGATTTCACTTTAGGAAAACTATTGTTTGTTAACAGGACAAAAAGAAAGGCTCACTCATTGTTTTTCCTAACTGGAATCTAATGGGCAATGGAACTGCTGCATTGTTTTTTACTTTGTCGATGTCTTATATAAAATATGTTAAGATTTTGTCAATGACATTAAAGGCAAAAGAATTACTAGATATTTCAGCATGATGTTAGCATAGAATAAATTACTTTTGGGAAATTTTGTTTTTACACTTGCACTCTTCAGGCATTCTGCTGTGTATCTAATGAAGAGAAATTTTGGGTATTACATTAGTTTTCTATTGATAGTTTTCCTAAACAATGTCAGTGTGTTCCTGATAGAAACGCCTATAATTTATTTCACAATTTATGTAAACAGATAAAACTTTTCACTGCATTGTGCCATGCAACTGCCAGCATATATTGTAAATTCAATTCATATTAAGCCATAGGTTCAAAAGTTTACCCTTTTGGGTAGTGTCCCCCATTAAACAAGAAACAAATGGTGCGTGAGAAGTTCCAAAATTTGTGCGGGTTTCATAGTGTCTCAGGGTCCTCATAACGTGGGTACACAGTCAACTGCAGGACACGAGCAGGCAAGATGTAGACGTCGGATGAACCCCCTAATTTAATGCAAGATACATGGCAAATGGGTCATCGCCCATTTGCCATGTCCAAATGCAAGCAACATGTTAACTAAAAGAGTTTGATCAATAATATGGTGCACACTCGCTTCATTACACATCGCTTGGAGCCATTGAAGCACACCAATCACATTAGAATCGTAAGCCCAGGTTTAAGTTACTCGAACTTTGAACTTGGCAGGTATGAAAGCTTGTATCTCGTAAAACCCCTCAACAAAGGTAAAGCCTGTAGAATTTCTTGGGAAAACAAAATCGGAAGCTTGATCCAAACACATGGTTGATTCTTCAAACCTCAGGTTCGACAGAAGTTTGTGGCATCATCTTATGTGGCCATGCACGGCCACACCGGCGTCGCCTACAAGGGGGTTGATGGAAGGGCGTCTGATTGATCGTACACCTCCCTCACCGATCGCGACAGACCCAGGAGTGCAGAGATTGCCAACTCACCGCCAACACCGTCGTCCTCGTCTGAGAGGTGCCCGTTGAGGTCGGCCGAACGCAGCATGCGGCTCTCCATGGCCTCCATCTCCAGCCGGTCCTTCTGCTGCTGCAGCTGGCAACAGCGGGCCTGCGTACACACACCCAATATGGAGAGTTAGGCTGCCACAATCCAACCCAATCTAATTTCACGTGTTTGGGAAACCGTAACCCGCCCCGTGCCACCACCAACTGACCAGGGTGGCCAGGCACTGCCAACGAGGCAAGTGCTATCAAAGAAAAGCCTAGTCACAATAGCTGCAGTAACGTTCCCCTTGATTCGTATCGTTGTTGAATACATCAAAATACTTTAGCTTCCACCAAATCCATGCGCCTAAACATAACACTGAGCCTGTTTAAGGCCTCGTCTTCTTTTCTTTAGACTGTGTCAAAGTTCAAACGACTGTTTTGGATGGCGGCCCCCCCCCCCCCTTCCCACCTTTACATTAGATGGTCTCCAGGCTAGGATTCTTTGTCACTTTAATCATGTCAGGATAGGCAAAGGGTAGATTACCAAATCTTTGTGACAACTAATCTGCAGGAAACGCTTAGCACATAGTAGAAATATGCTCTTAAAATGAGCCCAAGAAGTTGTAAGCCAATTTCATGAGACAAAACAAAGCAGGCCTTGCCCATTGCCTTTTCAAGCACAGCTTTTAAACAATGTAAGCTCTCACTGTCTTTTCACTGTTGGCTTGAAAGTGGGTTCAGGTGCCTCAGAATCAACACAGAAAACAAATTTATTGCTTGCAAAACTGTCTCTCAAAACTAGCTTCGAAGAGTATAGCTTCACACTTTCTTTTGCCGATTGCATCTGGCAGTGTATTGAAAGCTGAGCTGCACAAAACTTCACATGCTACGAAAGCTATTTCTCCATCATGGCAGATAATAGACAAACACAAAATATATGTGGGTGTTTTCATCTTAATGTAAGCAGCCTTATTAAATTTCCCTTAAAAAAAAAAAAATTGTGGTTGTGTCGAAGATACAACCACAAATTTTACATAAACCTACAAAAATTCAAATTTTGCTCTGTACTGGTCAAAGCTGGGTTTGTTTGTTGTCCATCGGTCACAGCTTTCTCCTTTTGCCAATTTCAAACGTCTTCGTCACCTTCTTGGTTAGCTTTGGCATTTTCACAATTCTTCATGACCACTTCTTTTTGATTTGGTAATGTCTTACATGGATTTCTTTTTTTCTTTTTTTTTGGGGGGGGGGGGGGTTAAACATGTGAGAGTAGCTCATCAGCTTTCCGGTAAGACCTCGACGACGGTTCTAGAACGACTTGATCGGAAGTTATCGTGCCCAGCAACAACGTCGAGGCAGTACGGAGTAGGGTCTTCCCACTTCTCTTGCGGGTGACATCACCCGTGCCATTTATAACTCAAGGAGTCCGGGCATGAGTAATTATGAAGCAACATTCTATGTTGTTCCAACAGTAGATGCCCCACTTTTGTCTGACGAGCACTTTCGAAGCAGTAAGTCTGAGCTGCGTTACAGAAATTTGCTGCAGATGCGCCGACAAATTGTCACCCATTCAACACGAGAATAAAGACGCAAGTCTACGTAAAAATACAGTCATGTCTCGTTAATGTGGACCGCACTAATATGAATACTCCGCTATATGTACATGCATATGTACATGCTGGGGAAATACATGCATTTTTGTCTCATGAGGGAGAACTCATAGTATGGACAATTTTTCGGGGGGATTGTAAGTGTCCCTATTAACGAGACATAACTGTATACATATATGTGGTGGAGGTGGTCTTCGAGATAAATGAAACTGACTTTTTTTAAACATTAGGAGGTAAGCAAATTGACAGGAAAAAAAAGTATATATTTTTTTTAAGTGTCACATAGTGTCATGCATTAAATACCCAATTAATATTTCTTTATTCTGTCATTTTTTAGGAGTTATTGACTTCATTAGAACTCCCAATAGTTGTTTACATAGCAGGGTAAATTAGAGACTATTTTTAGATAGAAACGGCTGCTTTCTATAACCTTCCATCCTTTTTGTTACAAAATTGCAAACTTTCAAACCCAGAGCCATTTTGCCTTGAATTTGAACATGAATATCAAATGAACAGTCCATGGGCAGCTAGGAATATAACCCATTTGCTGACATATTACTCATGGCACATGGCAAAGACATCTGTGCTGAGCCCTTAATTGGGTCGCACATACTGTTCACTAAATTTACGTCATGCATTTTTCATTCTCACAAGAGGCTTCAGCAATTATTCAAATACTAGAAAACATCTCTCCTACCAGAATCATAAGAATAAAGTTTGACTTGCTGTATGCTGAGATTAGAGGCCTTAGTGAAGCCTAGTGTTCCGATTTAGTACTTTGTCATGTTTTGGGGATATCCCTAGAATTTCTGACGAGATATGCCACGGCAATAGTCAAGCTGAATTTGTAAGCATGAAAGCTGGCAAGACGAATTTTAGGGACGCTCCTCAAAATGTCGAAGAAGTTTTATATGTGTCCGATGTGCATTGTATTATAAAATTTTCCACTGTAGAATGAAGTCCTGACACTAAAACCCAAATAATGAACAAGCAGCAATTCAAAATCAGTCGTCTCATCACAAGACCCAGTCACAGGACTCTCAAATTCCACTGCTCATTATAAAATTATTTCTATCTAAACCAGATAGCACATAAATGGGTTAACATCAATGGTACCACAATGCAGTGATGTGATTTGTCTCAGCAATTTTGCAGCACCTTTCAAAGCAGCCAAAAGTTCATTTTGGAGTAGCAAAATTAACTTTTGGAGCAGAGGCATGCAACCCAATTTTATTCCTATCACTGCATATATTACATGTTAAGATTCATGTGTTGGTCTGCCCAACTAAGACATTTGTCTACTTTGCCTTCCAACTTCTGTAAAACCGCTTATGAGTACCAATTCCACGGCAGGCTTGATTCCCTCAAACACAGGACTAGCTGTTTAGTTGTGAATAGAAACTCCAGGCACAGTAACAAGATGCTGACTAATGAGGGGGCAGTATGAACCGCGGTGGGTGGTTGTTTTAGGTATGAAGTCAAACGTAAACGAGATCATATATTTCATAAAGCTAATGTTTAAAAAAAAATATCAAAAACCTAAATTGATGTCTAGTGAAGTTCTAAAGGTTTAAATAAAACTACAATTCTTAATTAAGATAAATCCTAAGTTTTTGTATTTGGTATATGAGCATCAATTACACTTTATATCTAGAACTTCATAACAAAAATCGGGATGTGAACAATTAATATGTCTCCTTAAAATCCAGCCAAAGCTATTAAAGTTATGAGAAAGTTTTCATGCAGTGCCCCAGCTCATTTAGTTTTAATTTAATCTATTCACTGTGTCATTGCACAGAACAAATTTATATAAGGGTAATAAATAAACAACAGAGATGACATAAAAAATAAACTTCATAGGCGAGTCCATATAAATCTTCTCAAAATACCCACGTATCCTTGCTAAATTCGTAATTTGAGAAACAAGATCGTCAAAATGATAATATATACTAGCTCCAGTTTTATTCAGTCGTTGACCCGGAACACAGCCCCACTGAACTGTCCATGAAGTTGTCCCTTTCTTTTGAAACAATGTTTATGGCCCCGCTCCCTTCCCTTATCTTTTTTGGCACAACAGTTTTCAGGTCTTTTGTCCAAGCATAGGTTTCCTGGTATATGGGAGAAAGGAGGAAAGGCAAAGAGGGGCGGGGGGAAGCCAATAGGGCAATGCATTGGCAGCTTCTGGAGAGCGCACAGCAAGGAACGGCCAGTCTTGTCAAAAGCTTCTTTTGATTTTCTTGCCCTCCCCCTTTCAAGCGCGAATGTGGAGCATGCGTTTTCTGGACTGTGTTTCCTCAGCCGCAAGGAACGTGCTTCGATGACTGACAAATCTCTGACAATGTGCATGTCAATTTTTTTCAATAAGTTTCAGTTGTGATAGTATGCTTCTCAAAGCGTCACGCTTTCTGTTATCTCCATATGTATGTGCATTGTGTGACATGTTTGGTGTGTGTACAATAAATATCTGTAATGTCAGGTGTGCTGTGGTTTTTCTAGTAATTATGCAGTCGCTTTGCAACACAAGCCCCGATAATCACCGATTTCTTTCCAGGATTGAAATTAAACACCGAAAAACACCGATTCCAAGAGAAAAAATAAACACCAATAAATAACCCCGAATCTGAAGAAAAATAGATACCGAAAACGCAGAACCCTAGTAGTAAGTTATGTAAGGCAATAATCAAAAATTCTGAAAATTCGCACAAGCCTGTACGTAACAATCCGACCATGTAGCGGGGCCTGAGCTATCACATTTTTAGTAATAATGAAGTGAAAATGTGTTTTGGTGCAATGTTGGCACAAATTCATGCTATTCTGGCTAAATGTAGCAAGATGCAGCAGGGTAAGCCCTTTGGCACAGTTTGGCACAAAAACCGCATCACTGACTGATTGGACACATCAGATGCTCGAAAGCGGAAATTTTGAAAACTCCTTTTGTGACGTCGCGCTCCGGGAAGGAGTGTATTCATTACGTAATTTGAAAATGACATTCTGCAGCATCCATGCACTAAACTAAAAAATAATTTCGATATTCGAGATCCTGCAGGTCAAATGAAGATGATTTAAGTGTGTTTCCTCTATAATAAAACGGCTTCAGCTTCTCTAACTATTCTTTGGCATTTTTTTTTGTGCGCACAATAACACCCTATAGGCGAGGAACTGAAAACAAATACTAAATAACAAAATTAAAAAGTACTTTTTTGCAACGTCTGTAATTGCCGAGCCCACTCGCAATCACGCAGTAAGGGCAGCATACCGCAGTCAGAGTTTTACAGATCACACTAAGGGTCCATGAATACAAAAGAAAAAATAAACATCAAGTAACATTTACGTTTCCATCCATATGGCCCATCAACAAAACGGATGGAATATAATAAAAAAAGTGGCAATTTTGAGACAATTTACTTCATATTGTAAACGTCTAGTTTTTTTTCAACATAGTGGGCAACATACATTTTGTTTATAAAATACCACCAACATGAGCAATATACCAGCAAGTAGATTATATTCACAGCTGTACACTGATTATTTGCTTCACAGCATAGCTGTTAACCATCAGTTTGCTATAGCCATTTGACTTCCAAGCTATGCTGATCTAAACTGCAAGTTCGTAATTTCGAAAAAAAAAAAAATACCCTCGATTAAAAAAACAAAAAAAACAATACTCCCTATTAGATGCTACCATGCAAACAAATATTGGCAGTTTGAGTGAATTGAACATTTTGTGAAAAAGAGAAGTTGATGCAATTCACCTCGAGATTTCACACAACTGCAAAACATGAGTGTGGTCACTGCCTGGCTGGTTTGCACACTTGTGACTGCTTAGGACTGGAGAGGCTTAAAAGCGGTTTTGAAGCCTCTTGTGGTTGCTTACGAGTTGGCAGCCGGTCGGAAGCAGCTCGAAAAGCCTTAAAAACCCGTTTTAAGCAGCTCCGGTCGTAAGCGGTCGGAAGTGTGCGAACCAGCCCGCGGCAAAACGGTGGCGGCTTCACCGCAAGACCACCCCCACCGCAGAGAAGCCAGCTTTCCGTACTTCCCGTCCCGCGGCGGAAACCGTCGCCATTCGTCTCGACGGGGGCACTGACTCACCTGAAGTTCCCGGACTTCCTTGTCGAGACGCAGCCGCTCCGCTGTCTCGGCCTCGAGCATCTCGGCGGCCTGCGCGGACGCCGCCTGCTCCTGGCCCAGGTCCACCCAGAGGTCCCCGACCTGCGCCGCGGCACAAGAGCCCGCCGTCGCTGACCACCACGGCTTGCCCGGGCTCGTAGACCACGCGCGAAGCGACGCCCTGCCCGCGCTCCGTCGCGGCGACCCCAACGGCGCGAGGCGCGAGTTCACGCTGGCGGCCCACGCCCGCGGCCCGTCCTCGAGGTCGACGGCGCTTTCGACCGACACCGAGCGCGAGCGCAGGGCGCTGGCCGCGTCCGACGGCGTCGACGTGGCCGTCGACAGGGCCACGTCCGAGTCCCAGCTCAGGCTGCTCGGCCGCGAAGAGCCGGAGTCGCGGCGCACACTGCTCAGCGAGCTGACGCCGCTCGACGAGGCCTCGTCGTCGGGCACGTCCAGGCTGCTCTTGCCCAGTGAAGAGAGCGAGCTCTGGCGCGACGCGGTGTCCGCAGTCCGGCCCCCGGACTTGGGCGGGTGCGGCGACGGCGTGCGTAAAAGCACGCGGAGGTCCTTGATGTCCACCGTCTGCATCTCCGCCTTCTGGACGTCGGCCTTCTTGTCCAGTCTCGTCTCGTTCCGCGGTCTGTCCGTCCTCTGCGGCACGGGCACCTGGACAGTCCTGGCCGAGCTGCCGTCGGGCTCGGCCGAGCGAGCCGGCTGCGCTTCCTCCTTCAGCGGGCTCTTGACGTCGGCCTCGGGCTGCTTCGAGCCGCCGTCAGCCTTCTTGGCGATGGCCACTTCAGGGGTCTCGGCCGGCTTCGGTGGCGCGCCCTCTTCCACGGTCACTGTAGCCCTAATCTTGCGCGGCTGGGACCTCTTGCGCGGAGGAACCGAGACGGCCCAGGTCTTCTTCGGAGGCGACGTCCTCTGAGCCTCGGCGGAGCTCTTGGCTCCTTCCGAAGTCCTCTTCGGGGGCGTGCTCCTCCGGGTCTCCGCCGCGGCCCTCTCCTTGCCGGACGCCTCCGGGCGACTCGGAGACTCGGCGGCCTCGCCGGCAGTCTTGGTCGCGTCCGGAACCACGGGAGGCGACGCCGGGCCGGTCAACCTCTTGGCCGAGGGCTTCCTGGTAATCCGGAGGGTGGTGACCGGCGGCGCCGCGGCGGCCGTTCCGCGCGGCCCGTCCCGGCGTCCCAGGTCCGTGAGCGTGGTCACCACGGTGGTGCTCGTCATGGTCGCCGAACCGCCGGGGCCCGTCTTGGCAGGGGAACTCCGGGGGCTCAGCTTGACGGGCGAACTCCTCGACCTGCCCGAGGCGACGCCAGGCGGCGTCGCCTCCTTCTTGACGTCAGCGTCGCACGCCTTGTCTATTTTGGACGTGGACTCGACCTTGGACCGGGGCGTCGCGGACAGTCGCCGCTCAGAGGGTCTCCTGAGCATGGCCTGCGAGAAGAGAGGCGCCGACCCACGTCGTGGTGGCACCTGCTGCTGCTGCTGCTGTTGGGCGGCCGCCTTGAGTCTCATCATGGGTTCGGCCACGGTCCGGGTCTGTCCCTGCTTCAGGCGTTCCTCCATGAAGGCGTTGTAGTGCCGCTCTTTCTCCACGTCTTTGGCGTCCTGGCCGCCGCCGCCGTCTGTCGTCGCGCTATTCTCGGACGCCGGAGGGGAGGTGTCCTCTTTGCCATTTGCGGAAGTCGCGCTGCCGCCAGGAGCGCTGTCACGGAGGGGGACGGGCCCGCCGGAACCCTTCTCCGGGGTCCGCGGGGGCAGGGCCCCGCTCTGCAGCGCCGCAGTCCTGCAGTCCACCCTGACGGGGCTGCCGGGAGGTTCCGGTCCCCGCTTGGCCGCCGGCAGGATCCTGACGGGCTTTAGCGTGTATGGCATCGAGAAGGGCATCTTGTCCAGCGGACGCACTATAGCCGTCTACTTCATCGTCGGCCCGCGGAAGAGAGCTTGGGGTTCCCCGGGGTCGTGTTCGTTCTTCGAAAAATAGATTCGCCGGTCGTTCGCAAAAACACTAAGCCGCGAGCAGGATGGAAAGCGGCAGGCTCGGCGACTCGGTCGGGACGGGAGAGCGAAGGTTCTCCAAACAGCGGCTATATCGAGGCGTTCGGGAGTCGAAATCGCCCTGGGCGCCCTTCGGAGCCGCAGAAGGATCCGAGCTTCGCGAGACAAAGCACAACGAAGCAAAAACGGAAGCCCAGTCACCGCCCAGCGTCCAGCCGCCCGCCGTGCTCCCCGCGGTCTCCGCCCGGCGTTATACTCCAAAAGCTCGGGAGACGAGCGGGTGGACGCGAAGCCGAGCGCCGAGTGTCAGCGCGTGCAGCAGGGAGGAAGAAACGTTGCGGGGAGCGCGCGCGCAAAAAGCCCGACAGGTGACGGCAAGCGCCGAGGCCGCGGCCCAGCCCGTGGCGCGAACACTTCTGCCGCTGGCAAGGGGCCCGGAGTCTGGCCGGCGGCGGCGGGGGGAGGCGGCTATTTCCGTGTCCGCACCAGCTCTCCGTATAAAGACCGGGGGGATCCAGTGCCGATAGTCGCGGATCGGCCGGCCCTTCGCCCGCTTTCGCGGCCAGCGAGATATGAAACACCCGACACCAACGGCCCTGGAGACATCGGCGCCTGTCAACGGGTCGGGAACGGAACGAGCGCCTCGAGAAAAGCGTCCGCTTTTTATTTTTATTTTTCGGTGTTGTCAGAGACACGCAGGGCTCAATTTATGCGCTTTCACAATCGCGTCCTTTGGACACGGGAAACAAATGCGACTTTCTCTGCTCAACGCACTAGAGCGTGCTGGTAACGTTACGAGAGCAAACGGAGAGCAACAAAATCGAAGCTGAAAGTTCGCGGAGTGAACTTCTGCGACGAGGACGCACAGCCAGGCCCCCGTTGAAATTGCCACAATTGTCGCGGAACATCACTAAATGGCTGCCAGTTTAAAAAAAAACCGTTCTGTCCTGTCCTGGTTCTTTTTGTGGCCCTCTATTGATCTTCGAGATTTTATCTGACCAGTTTCAGAGGCGCCGTCTCTACTCCAAATCAACAAAGCCGCAAACTCTACTCGGATCAACGTCGACCGAACCGCCTGCTCGCTACCAGAGGGGGGTGCGGCCGTCGCTATATCCATCCTCCTCCCGCCAGAAGGAAACCTCGAAGAACAAAACTTCTCGTTGTAAACACTGCGAGAGCACAACCCATTTTTTTGCCGTTGAGCTCCGGGTCACCAATTCCTTCAAATTAAAACGGAAGAAATAATTGAGCAACCAAAGAGCTGGAGTGTTACGTTTATTTGAACAGGCGCATGTAACGCCGAAGACATTAGGAAGTTTTCGTAGACCGCGTTTACCCGTCCGCTAAGCCCTCCGCAACGAAGAGGCCGCTACTGCGCCTGCGCGCCGATGGCCTTGGCTGTAGAGTTCCGGGTATTGTAGCGGGTTGCGGAGAGCCTTGCGGGACAGCGAAAACGATATACGAAAACTCCCTAATAATCCTGCGGCCCAAAAGGAATGGGAAATTTTTCCGAGAGCAACTTCTCCGTGTCAAGTGATCGGGTCTGTCCACACAGAGAAAAGTACCTCCGGTTATTCACAAACGCGTTCTTTGTTTGTTTGTTTTCTGTTGATTATCATGTTTTTTAACCGTTTCCGGGGGCTTAATAACGCTCTGGCGTACAAAAATTTGTAAACTTTCGAGGATGTGCTGCGCCATCTGGAGGTCCGTCGCGTCATCAGAGGCCCTCTAGCGCGACCTCTGCAAACAAAACATAGACGCTGTTCTGCTTGCTTACGTGCGGCAAGTCGTATCAACAAACGTAGGACGCTTCTTGCTTCGTGATTGATTCTTCGTCGTCCTTATCGGCTCATGTTATTCATTGGCAGACGAGCGATAATGAGATGCTAAAGACTGGGCCAGGTCCAGCGTTGCTGCCAGTAACTGCGCGTATCGCAAGTTCGTCTGCCTCTCGCACAGGGGTTGCGGTGACGTCAGAACGCCGAGATTCGATTGGTGCTGATTGGAAGAATAGCGGGTATAGACCTCGAGGCAGCTAGCGTCGAGGTTCACCCACTGTCCTTCCAACCAGAACCAATCAAAGCTCCGCGTTCCGACGTCACGGCAACCCCTGCGCAAGAAGCAGACGAAGTTGCGCTCCAGCGCACAGCTGTCCCCTCCGGAGTGTCCGAGCACGCGAGTTGGCGCAACCGGCCCGGACCGATACCCGCCAGAAAGAAGGCCCGTAGTGTTCAATTTTCTACGTCACCTACCGAGGGCCAGCGAGGGTCGCATATTTTTGACACGAGTGTCGAGTCAGCGTTCGATTGGAACTCGCGTTCAATCAGTAGACCGTGAGTCCCCACAGGACGCTGACGCGGAGCTTGTGCCCAGCCTGCGAACAAAACAGCGCCGAAATAAAGCGTGAACAGAGGCAAGAGGACAGGACCAAGGTGCGCTTTCAATTGACCCGTTTCGAAAGCCACGTGCCGATTATTAGAAGGTCGGAAGCACTGCACAATGGCGGAACAACTGACATCGCCGGAACGTGAAAGTCATTCCATAAGAAGGCAAACGTCGGAGTGCGGCCAACGCTACGAGCCGACGAGTCAATCAAACAGCGTCGAAAGTTCTTTTGCTGTGGGTGTTTTTTCCAGTGTGCCGTAACGCCGAGGTTTTAGTCCGCCATTGTGCAGGGATTCCACGGCTGCCAACAGAGGGCAGTATTTCGAAAGGGGTCAAGAAACGCGAAGTCATTGCGTGTTGTGGCACAGCCCGCATTACAGATATTCGTATTCATTTGCAGCTAATAAGGCTAAAGAAGTGTCACTTGTGCATAATTTTCCATTAATCCTAATCTCGAACGCCTCGTGAATTTCCCTCGACACTTTATCTGAATAACGCGCCAAGATCTTGGCAGGGGTGCATGAGCACCGGCTACAATGGACGACAAGGTGTCCTGACGGTGTTGATCTAATACGAACACATTAAATGCAGGCTGTGCCGCAACACGTAATGACTCAGCATTTCTTGGTGGCTATATATATGCTCGCGTTTCTAAAATAAACTTCATTTGAGGGCGCGCCTGTTTCAGGGGCGGATCCAGAACCGTGTTTGGG